GATTGTGCATCGATGAACGATAAGGATGCACGGTGCTTGCTGCGGGACAAGCAGAGCCACTGGAGCATAGTCGGTGCTTCCTGGGAGATGGACCACACCTTTGCAAAGGTGTTTATATTGGGCATGCTTCCAGTTTGGTGCAATACCTGCCGATGTCATTCTTTGCCAACTATTATCAAAAGTCTTGATGCCCTGATTGCATAAGTCACGCCCCCGGGCTTAGAAGTTGGTTGTCACTTATCCAGTGTCAAAACTTAGCTGTGATGTCAAAAACTGCCTTGTGAAATGTATCTATTTTCTATGATTGATGACAAGGCTAATGTCGGTATGGATGTCATATAAACTAGAAGATGTTTGTTCCTATACACACCAAGCGTCCGACAACCGCCACTACTCGCGATTGTGCTGCCACCTATAAAGACGGTATGTGCTTGTCATGCTTCTCAGTCGGTGCTGCCACCTAGAGAACACTAGCTCTGGTAGAAAAACTCCTTAGTCTTTTTGCATTACAACGGCGTGTTTAAGATGGGTACAGTAGCGGAGCCATAACCATGGACGTAGGAACCCTCCAAAAAGTGGTAGCCAACCCATGCTTGGGGGAAATAGTTTCTAAGCATCACCACAAGGGGAAATTGAGGCTTCACAACAAAGTGACCGGATAGGCCATGTCCCCATATCATCTCGGCTCCTACGTTTACAGCTATGTGGGAGGGTCAATAGGGAGATCATACCCACATGTGAGGGCTCTCTTGTGAATTCCAAGGTTCATAAATATCCAGAGACCCTTTAAATATCCAGAGGCCCTTTAAAACTGCAAAAGGCCCCCTCCGTGCCTGGGCTTGCCATGCCATGCATTCTTTGAGACTGCTGGGAGACATACTTGACGAGCCAAAGGATTGGGGGCCCAAAGGTACCTCGTAACTGCCAAGGACCATCTGCGACCAGCTAAAAGCGACTGCTGCACTCTGGACGCTGTAGTGTGCACAAATCATATTACGAAAAATCGGGTGTGGCGACACGGATCCTTAAAATGTGACGGAAATCTGGAAATCGGCGGCGTACAGGCTTATACCACAGGGAGCAGTGGAAAGCTGAAAAAAACATTTGTTTGCAGCTACGGGGATGAGCATCGAAGCTAATACACACCGATGGAATGGCGAGGAAAAAAATGCATTCGTGATGTGTTGGAATGTCGCCAACATGAAACGTGTTTAGAGATTTGATGCGCGGAAGAACCACATTTATGTGTAGCATGACAGACTCGGGTCACGTCAGCCCAGAGATGGTGAATTATGACAGTTCAAGTGGTACCTTTTGTAGCAATCGACCCAAGCATATGCTCATGGCATGCGCCTATCGAAAAGAAGCGGACTTTTTGTATGAGATCTGCATTGGTTACTCATGAATTAACGCCAGGTCACCAATATCTCCTCTTTTGTTGTCGACTACTTCCCTCAAATTGCAAAACATTTCATATCCATCTACAACATGGGCTCAGATCATGATTTTATCTGTGGCAGCACTGACGTAGCACTTTGTCGTCCGTTTTCATGGTATTTGATCCTGTCCAAGGCAACCTTATTCCGAGTGCCCTACCATTATCAGAAAAAAGTCAGTGCACATTCGACTCGAATTGGGCTTCATTCATCGTTCTGTCGTACGTTGCTAAACGTGAATGTTTCGTTGGGCTCTTTAAACCTGTGTAGAGCCGTCCAAGTTTGGGCGTTTGGATCTTTTGGTTCAGTCGAGTGTATGCGGCTGAACCAAGAGCCAAGCCACCCCAATATTGGTTATGATGTGCCTCTCGCAGGCCACTGAGTGACCAAGTTGATGAGTTTAACGGGCAGTGGGTCATTAGCGTCAGGTTCGCGCGCTCATTCCCAAACCCCATTACCTGCAGACCGCCAGGTTATGGGCCTGGCCAGTCCCGGCTACTTCAGCAGACGAAACGAACGGACTTCAGATCACTGTGAAACCACGCCAATCGTTTGCGTAAATGTTGGTGATAATATCATCAACGAAATACCGGTGTATTATATTCGGTCCCTTTTTTCTCGCCAGGCTTAAACCGTGTCGAAATCGAGACAAGTTTTGAAAGAGCGACAATGACGTTTTCCCGGTCAATGACGGGCTGAATTGTTGATAGTGCAGTGCTATGGTAGCGCTATGGCATGGTGCAGCGCTATGGTATTATCGTATTTGTGTGCTGTATCTTCGTCAACACCGTGTGGTTGGTTTTACGTCTTGATCTGCTCAAGATGCCATTACCCGAAATCACGCGTTTAATAGCATTATTGTCAATGCCATTTTGTTCTGTTCCATTTCGTCAGTCGAGTTTGGCAGATGACCAGGTACTTGCAAACAACATCTGGGCTAGCGCTGCCCGAAGGACTGTTTCTTCTCCTCCGCTACGGGATGACAAGCTACGCTCAGATCGAGTCAGTCATGTGCCCAGCCAATGTCGCGGGGAAGGTGGTGCCAACAGGCAGCTGTGTGCTCTGCAGTTAAACAAGTCGCATCTTAAACAACCAACAAATGAGGCCTAAAATCCTGGAGAATTAGTTGTTCGCAGAATTTCTCCGTACAACATACCTCTGTGACCTCCTAGTTCCGCGTAGTCGCAGTGAAACCTTTAGAAATCCTTTGAAACCAACCATTCATCAAAATGAATTTGCTTCTATCGTTTCTTTGCATGCATACATGCATAGTCACACACGCTCATATGCACACACACACACACACACACACACACACACACACACACACACACACACACACACACACACACACACACACACACACACACACACACACACACGCACGCACACACACACATATATATATATATATATATATATATATATATATATGTATATATATATATATATATATATATATATATATATATATATACATATATATATATATATATATATATATATATACATATATATATATATATATATATATATATATATATATATATATATATATTTTGGTACGGAGAAAATAAATGAAGCATAACTAATTGAAGTAAGACGGATTCCTATTTTCATTTTCATACATGTAAGAAACACTCATAATGGGAACATCACAGAGACACAATGGGAACACTATTGTCACAATCACATCAGAAGTGCTCACCGCCCACCACCTAGCAGTTCAAGAGTTCTGCAAGAATTTGTCTGTCTGTTTAAGCCGGAGAGAGTTCGTTAATGAATACGCTTTCCCAAATTTGAAGGCGTCTTCTGTCACTGCACGTTCGTAAAATGTCAGTGCTGTATGTCAGTTGTTGTTGTGTCAAGGTCATGTCGTGTTCCTGTCGCATGTGGTCCAAAGGTGCCCCGTCACGTAAGTGCATTGTCAGGCGTCGTGGGAGTGTCGTTGTGGTCACACCAATGTAGTGTATGGGACGAAGTTTGCGGCCTTCGATGTTGCATTGGAATTGATACACTACATTGGTGCATTTTAGTTTGTCGGGTTTGACTGGGCTGTTTCTCATAAAAAAGTTCGATATTTTCTTATTACAATAGTAAATGACAATGTCTATTTTGTGGTCGTTTTTGCCTTTAACATGTCGGGAGATAATTTCTCGTAAAGCTTTTTCGTCCTGTTTGTGGGCAGATGTCTGACGATGAAAACAAGACACAACGACATATGACAAGACACTTTGACGGCAAACCAAGGCAAGACATCCAACCAACCGTCAAACTGTATTATCAAAATCAAATGACATCTGCCCACAAACAGGACGAAAAAGCTTTACGGGAAATTATCTCTCGACGCGTTGAAGGCAAAAACGACCACAAAATAGGCATTGTCATTTACTATTGTAATAAGAAAATATCAAACTTTCTTTTGAGAAACAGCCCAGTCAAACCCGACAAACTAAAATGCACCAATGTAGTGCATCAATTCCAATGCAACATCGAAGGCTGCAAACTGCGTCCCATACACTACATTGGTGTGACCACCAAGACACTCTCACGACGCCTGACAATGCATTTACGTGACGGGGCACCTTTGGACCACATGCGACAGGAACACGACATAACATTGACACGACAACAACTGACAGACAGCACTGACATTTTACGAACGTGCAGTGACAGAATACGCCTTCAAATTTGGGAAAGCATATTCATTAACGAACTCTCTCCGGCTTAAACAGACAGACAAATTCTTGCGGAACTCTTGAACTGCTAGGTGGTGGGCGGTGAGCACCCCTGATGTGATTGTGACAATAGTATTCCCATTGAGTCTTTGTGATGTTCTCATGTGTGTTTCTTACATGTATGAAAATGGAAATAGGATTCCGTCTTACTTCAAATAATTATGCTTCATTTATTTTGTCCGTACCAAAAGATGTTTTCCAACAGTAGTGCACAATTTTTCGTCCTTTAAAACTCAAAACACACATACATATATATATATATATATATATATATATATATATATATATATATATATATATATATATATATTGCGTCCTCGCTGCTCTTCAGGTGGGCCTGGACGCCCTCGGAAAGCAGCAAACGCATTGAAGTTCGAAGCAAAAGATGATCATGCGTGCCTTCGTCCTTTTGCCTGGTCGTGTCACGCCTTCCTCAGCATGTTCTTAACTACGAATAAGGGATTTCCGGAAGGCTTCGCAGAACACGCATAGGTTTCACATATTTTAACTGCTTCTGCTGGGAAAGGCGGCTAAAGAAAAAAAATGCTGGGAGAGGCGGCTAAAGCATACTCCTTCTCCTTCTGGGCTGTCCCTGCGTGAAGAGAGAGTCATGCAGTCACCTACTCAGCTTGCCCCGATGGCCATTGTGTACCTGGTGTCGGGGTCGCCAGGCGGCGGGCGCTGAATGATATATGAGCGTCAGGCAGGGACGATTTCGCCGGACGCGGGAGCCCTCAGCGCCGAGCACGTTTCCCAGTTGCCTGATCGACACCGGGGAGCGTCATGAGGCGTGTTGGCCGCGTCGCGAGCTTCCATGCCTCCAGGCATGTTTGGCGGTGAGAGCCAGCAGGTGGCTCGACTCGTGTTTGCTTGCGAAGGCATAGTGACCGTGTAAAAAATGCACGACTGGGAACTTTCCTGACGCAGCAACGACTGTTAGTAGTTTGCGTTGGAAACGCGCTTCCACTCTGTGGCAAGGACCATAAGGATATGAAGGAGGTCTCGGCGAAGTTATGCAACACGACGTTTTCATATAACGGCCATTTACGAAGCATTTCAGATACCACCGCGCAACGCATGAGAAATCACATTCCAATGTATGTGACGTAATTTGGACAGAGCCGGAACATCTGGAGCACAGCAGTTCACCTCTAATCTGTAGCACACCTGTACCCGATCACTTCTCACAAGCCTATACTTGCTTAGAAATATGTGCGACGAAGTGTTTTCGAAGCCTGCGGCACTGATGAGCCTTTCCTTTTGCCTATCGGACTCTGTTGACAAATAGAATGAGAACGTTTCACCAGTACAGGCTGCACTCTACGTCTCGCAATGTCAATCGACTTCAGATATCATCTTTTTAAAGACTATTCAGAGGAGTATCCAATAACCGCTACACAGGACGAAACCTAGAAAAAAGAGGAGCGATTCTATCGTTTCGCTTTACAAGCCTATTAACAAACCCGTAAACTTTGATACGAAAACGGCCTGTTTCCGTTCCGTATATTTTCCTCATTTTTGGTTGGCCAATGGGGTCCCATGGGGCTAAATGATAAAGCACCGCACACGGAAAATACTAAACGGCAAACAATGGGAGTAAAATGGAGGGAGTAAAATGGATTGGCCATCTTGATAGACCCGGCGACATTCCATGGTTTGGTTCATTTCATTCCATGGTTGCTTTCACGCGAGCTTTTTCCTGAATTTCAGATTTGGTATCAAATTAGATCCCTGCCTAACAATGCTAGTGTCACAGGGTGTGTTTTCTCTTTTCAGCTAGCATTAGCTTCCTGGTGTCTTATACTGTATCTTACACAGCGCACCAGCTATCTGTTCACCAGCGAAAATGTATTTTCTGGCCTTGGGCGTCGCATTGCTAATGGAATGGCATGATTTGAATGGTGTTATTATCCCAGAAACAGTCTGCACAGCTTCACGTGCGTGTAGCCCAGAAACTAGAGGGGTATAGACCTTAAGAGCAGCGGGCTGTGAACTGCTTCGAATCGTCTTCAAGATGGGTATTTCAGTTTAAAACCCCATACAAACGTGAAACACTCCCTTAGAGGGCCCCATTGGGCATAGACGTTCCAGAGCTGGAGAGAGGCCAATAAACGCTCGAGCGGCGAGGTTAGATGCTTTCCACACCACACTATGATTTATGAACGTCGAGCACTGCCAGACCCTGGCTACAGCTCGTTGGTCCGACCCCAGCGCCTGGCCTCCGCGCCAGCGCCCGGGCCCCCGAACCGAAGCCCAGCCGCCTACCCCGGCGCGCAGCCGGCGGCGGGCCGGCCGCGCCGCTGGCCGTCGCCTTGGCGGCGGTCGCCCGGCGGCGGCGGCGGTCGGGCTCGCCAGGTCGACAGATCGTCACCAGCGGCCGCCATGGCCGGACGCAGTGGGGGCGTCACCTGGCCGGCGCTCGCCGCCGTCTGTCTGCTCCTGCTCGGGCCTCGGCCCGGCCGCGCTTCTCACAGTGAGAGAGAGACCCGTCGCACGCACCGCTGGCCTGGTGACCTCGACAATCTCGCTGAGCAGTCTGACCGCCCAGCGATCCCTTTGGTTGCTTCAGAAACTTGGGGCCCCTGGTGTCACTCCAGTTTTGTCTCTGAGTGCTGCCAGTTCCATGGAGGTTTCCTCAGCGTCTCCAGCCTGCAGCTCGGGTGTGTCTGTCCCATGGAGCTTTCCTCAGTGTTTCCAGCATACAGCTCGGGTGTCTTTTGATCACCATGAGACGCCTTGGCCATGTTTGGACAACACCAAATATTCTGGAGGTTTGTGAGTCATTTCTGAGTCGGCCGATAGCATAGACGAGGGAATCCTGGAAGAAGGGGAGGGGGAGGGGAACGGCCCACTCCCTTTTCCTGACATCACCATCAATTATGTATTTATGCATAGCAAGAGACGATCTTGAAGCGGGGTGTGACGAGCGCTCCTCCCACTCGCTGGCCGCCGGGTACATCTACCTACCGCCCCCCTCCAGACTCATTCTGCCCGTCCGAGTTCCGGCGCACCGGCTCCAGCTGCGTGCGCGACTCGCCGGACCAGGCCACATTCGAGGAGGCCCGCGCCGCCTGTGAGAGGCTCAGCGCCGTGCTGTACGAGCCGCGCGAGCCGGGTCTCTTCGCCGATATAGCGACTGACGCCGTCGAAGCCGAGCACTGGGTCGGCATGAAGGAGCTGGTGAGGCTGCGTCGCTCGGACCGTTTTCTGTTTGCTCGGTGGAAGAGGACGACTGGAGGATATGTTTGCTGTGCGGTACTGACGCGAACATCGCTGTGCATCTCGAGAGAGCGTCGCTTTTCGTCATACATTGAGATATTTGGTGGAATGAGGCTACCCATAGCATGACAACGGAAGCATCCCGCTATCTGATTTATGACAGATGCGCGTAACGTCACCAAAACCAGTGATGTAAGTCGTTAGCATGCCCACAATGTCAAAATCCTAGCTGAAACGGACTCTGACACCGGATGAGACTGATGATGCAATACCGAACCTTGTGGACAGCACAGGCCGGGCCCGACCCACCGTCGGTACACCACTCTGCCGTCTGTCGCAGGGCCCGGGTGACTTCCGGATGGTGTCGGACGGCAGCAAGCCGCTCTTCAACTTCTTCCCCAGCGGCAGCTCGCGGGGCCCGGTGACCGAGGCCGAGCCGTCCGGTGCCTGCGTCCAGAGGAAGACCAACGGAGAGTTGGTGGTGGCAAACTGTGATGACAGAAAGTACTACTTCTGCCTCCACAAGCCACGTGAGTTGCGTCGACACTTCCTTCTGCCTCCAAAAGCCGCCGCCTGTGTGGTTTTGGAACCCTTCCGAGCGAACAACCTTGGGCAGTCTAGAGCAATCCGCAGTGTATTTCGCAGCTCAAAGACGTGTTAAACGTGTTGAACGTGGTGTTTGAACGTGTTGACATTCCATTCAGAGAGCTTGTCGAGGAATGCGATGGCACTGGACCGGTTGTCTCGTGCCGCTGGCTCCACCACCCTGACCTAACCTGACCCGAACTACTTGGTCCGATTGTTTGCTCTCACCTGACCTTGCCTAAGTTGGCCTACCCTGATCAAAGCTGCACTGCTCTGATCGCTCTGCACGTCACAGAGCCCGCTCTCACCTGACCTTGCCTAAGTTGGCCTACCCTGATCAAAGCTGCCCTGCTCTGATCGCTCTGCACGTCACAGAGCCCGCTCTCGCCTGACCTTGCCTAAGTTGGCCTACCCTGATCAAAGCTGCCCTGCTCTGATCGCTCTGCACGTCACAGAGCCCGCTCTCGCCTGACCTTGCCTAAGCTGGCCTACCCTGATCAAAGCTGCCCTGCCCTGATCGCTCTGCACGTCACAGAGCCACTCTGCCCGGCCGGGTTCCTCTCGTTCGGCGAGACGTCCGACTGTCTCTACATGGTGGAAGAGCAAGCGGTGGCGCAGGCTGAGGCCCAGCAGCGCTGCGCCGCCGTCGGCGCCACCCTGGCCGAACTCCGCGACGACAACATGCTCTCCAGCTACGAAAGCTGGAGGAACAAGGAGGTGTCGCTCTGGATGGGCGTCACCGACAAGGCGGAGGTCAGTGTAGTAAGCGTATCGGCCAGCCTGAGGGGGCTGGCCGGTGAACCCGCAGTTCAAACAGCGTAATAACTTGCTTTTTCTGAAGGCCGCAGATAAGTTTTAAAAAATACGTCAGACATTCGGTCAACATCTGGAGATTTCGTAGTAACTATCTTTTGAGTATACGTTAGGGGTTGTGCCGGACCGTCAAGACATTTGGTGCCAAACGCCCAGGCCGAGTCCGACAGCTCCAGCACGCAATTGCCATGTCTCGGTCCAGGACCATTAGTGCTAGGGTGCATAATAACCATCATTACGATATAAGTCAGGACTGAGTACGAAAACACAACTCCCTTCCAGAAACAGCTCACTGTGAAAATACAACTCTGGCATTTCAAGTCTCGTTTGCTTTATCACGCACGAGCACATCACAGCGGGTCCCAAATCTGCGGGCGAACAGGCGGCTGAACACTCTTCCACATAATCTGACGTCGCTGTGATCGACAGAACAACATGTTCACCACTGGCGAGGGCGTGGCACCGAGTCTACTGCCCTGGTCTTCTGGGGAGGGCACAGGCGATCAGCTCGGCTGCAGCACCCTCCGTGCCACCGCCATGTCCGACGTCACGTGCAACGCTGACCAGGCCGAGGGCTACATGTGCCTGCACAGAGCTGGTGAGCTGCTGCCATGTCCGACGTCGCATGCAACGCCGACCAGGCCGAGGGCTACATGTGCCTGCACAGAGCTGGTGAGGGCTGGTGAGGGCCAGTGCCTCCGCAGAACCGGTGAAACGGGCTAGGGAACCAGCCACCTGGCTTTCGCTCCGATTTTTGTCTGTATGATGTGTGCATTATGTGCCATTAGATCCATCGTACTCGATACTCTGATGCATGCACTCCTTCTCATGTGATGCCACCTGCCGTGTTAAATGATGTGTATGATATATATATATATATATATATATATATATATATATATATATATATATATATACGGTGTGTATGTGTACGATGATGTGACCATATGATGTGTTACGTGTAACGCTGACGCAAGCGTTGGTCTCACCACCGGGCTCAACTCAGGATCCCATCATTCCACTTGGCAGGCTGGGATAAGTGCCCTGCGGGCTTCCTGGAACTCGGCGGCCGCTGCTACCACTATAACCCCACGGTGGCAAACTACGACGACGCTAGCGCCGCCTGTCGGACAATGGCGTCATCGCTGGCGGCCATCGACACAGACACCACGGCGGTAGGTGGCGCCTGGAATCAGCCTGAGGGCATCAGCGGGACCATCCTGTTCACGCGTGAAAAGTGCCAGAGACCAGGTGTGGCTGTGCCATAATGATGTTTACAATTGGCCAAGGACGACAATTGATTTGAAAAAAACGGTTTTTCAACTCCTGAAAATATCGATTGGAGGAAATTTGATGCTTTGTCACGTTTTCAGCGTATGATACGGTCATTAGAGAACCTGAACTGCTGCCGAATGCGAATCCCTTCAGGAGCCGGCCAAAAATGAGATCACGCAACTCTGAGCTCCCTCGGTCACGCTATATTACGCGAAGCGTCCAAAAAAGTCGGGAGTCCGCTTAACACCTACGGGGCTAGAGCGCAAGCCAAAAGCGGGTGTGCTTCTCGCCATGAGGCTAGCTCACGGCACTCAGCTTAACACTTTTTAGCACGATTCCAGCACTATTTTCATCCGCACCTGAGCAAAACGTTGCGGTTACGCTGTCCCCCTCCCCTCGCCCTCGTCTGTCCCTGGTCTCTGAACTGGCTGACATTTGACGCTGTGCGGCAAAGCTGACCCTGCGCTGCGCACACAGCGGCTGCTGTCCTCCACCGTGCTGGGGAGCGACCCATCCTACCAGTGGCTGATCGGTCTCAAGCACAACAGCCTGAACGGCATGTGGGAGAACTGGGACGAGACCAACCCGGCAGACGTAAGACGTTCAGCCCGGCCTCCACCGGGCACCGGGTGACGTGTGGCGGTGGCTGCAGGGTGACGTGTGGCGGCGGCTGCAGGGTGACGTGTGGCGGTGACTGCAGGGTGACGTGTGGCGGTGGCTGCAGGGTGACGTGTGGCGGTGGCTGCAGGGTGACGTGTGGCGGTGGCTGCAGGGTGACGTGTGGCGGCGGCTGCAGGGTGACGTGTGGCGGTGACTGCAGGGTGACGTGTGGCAGTGACTGCAGGGTGACGTGTGGCGATGACTGCATGGTGACGTGTGGCGGCGGCTGCAGGGTGACGTGTGGCGGTGACTGCAGGGTGACGTGTGGCGGTGGCTGCAGGGTGACGTGTGGCGGTGGCTGCAGGGTGACGTGTGGCGGTGGTTGCAGGGTGACGTGTGGCGGCGGCTGCAGGGTGACGTGTGGCGGTGACTGCAGGGTGACGTGTGGCAGTGACTGCAGGGTGACGTGTGGCGATGACTGCATGGTGACGTGTGGCGGCGGCTGCAGGGTGACGTGTGGCGGTGGCTGCAGGGTGACGTGTGGCGGCGGCTGCAGGGTGACTTGTGGCGGCGGCTGCAGGGTGACGTGTGGCGGCGGCTGTAGGGTGACGTGTGGCGGCGGCTGTAGGGTGACGTGTGGCGGTGACTGCAGGGTGACGTGTGGCGGTGACTGCAGAGTGACGTGTGGCGGCGGCTGTAGGGTGACGTGTGGCGGCGGCTGGAGGGTGACGTGTGGCGGTGACTGCAGAGTGACGTGTGGCGGCGGCTGCAGGGGGACTTGTGGCGGCGGCTGCAGGCTGACTTGTGGCGGCGGCTGCAGGGTGACGTGTGGCGGCGGCTGCAGGGTGACTTGTGGCGGTGGCTGCAGGGTGACGTGTGGCGGCGGCTGCAGGGTGACGTGTGGCGGTGACTGCAGGGTGACGTGTGGCGGCGGCTGCAGGGTGACGTGTGGCGGGCGGCTGCAGGGTGACTTGTGGCGGCGGCTGCAGGGTGACGTGTGGCGGTGGCTGCAGGGTGCCGTGTGGCGGTGGCTGTAGGGTGACGTGTGGCGGCGGCTGCAGGGTGACTTGTGGCAGTGACTGCAGGGTGACGTGTGGCGGTGGCTGCAGGGTGACGTGTGGCAGTGACTGCAGGGTGACGTGTGGCGGCGGCTGTAGGGTGACGTGTGGCGGCGGCTGTAGGGTGACGTGTGGCGGCGGCTGCAGGGTGACTTGTGGCGGCGGCTGCAGGGTGACTTGTGGCGGCGGCTGCAGGGTGACTTGTGGCGGCGGCTGCAGGGTGACTTGTGGCGGCGGCTGCAGGGTGACGTGTGGCGGCGGCTGTAGGGTGACGTGTGGTAGTGACTGCAGGGTGACGTGTGGCGGCGGCTGTAGGGTGACGTGTGGCGGCGGCTGTAGGGTGACGTGTGGCGGCGGCTGCAGGGTGACTTGTGGCGGCGGCTGCAGGGTGACGTGTGGCGGCGGCTGCAGGTTGACTTATGGCGGTGGCTGCAGGGTGACGTGTGGCGGTGACTGCAGGGTGACGTGTGGCGGCGGCTGCAGGGTGACTTGTGGCGGTGACTGCAGGGTGACGTGTGGCGGTGACTGCAGGGTGACGTGTGGCGGCGGCTGCAGGGTGACGTGTGGCGGTGACTGCAGGGTGACGTGTGGCGGTGACTGCAGGGTGACGTGTGGCGGCGGCTGCAGGGTGACTTGTGGCGGTGACTGCAGGGTGACGTGTGGCGGTGACTGCAGGGTGACGTGTGGCGGTGACTGCAGGGTGACGTGTGGCGGCGGCTGCAGGGTGACGTGTGGCGGTGACTGCAGGGTGACGTGTGGCGGTGACTGCAGGGTGACGTGTGGCGGTGGCTGCAGGGTGACTTGTGGCGGTGACTGCAGGGTGACGTGTGGCGGTGACTGCAGGGTGACGTGTGGCGGTGACTGCAGGGTGACGTGTGGCGGTGACTGCAGGGTGACGTGTGGCGGTGACTGCAGGGTGACGTGTGGCGGCGGCTGCAGGTTGACTTATGGCGGTGGCTGCAGGGTGACGTGTGGCGGTGACTGCAGGGTGACGTGTGGCGGCGGCTGCAGGGTGACTTGTGGCGGTGACTGCAGGGTGACGTGTGGCGGTGACTGCAGGGTGACGTGTGGCGGTGACTGCAGGGTGACGTGTGGCGGTGACTGCAAGGTGACGTGTGGCGGTGACTGCAGGGTGACGTGTGGCGGCGGCTGCAGGGTGACGTATGGCGGTGACTGCAGGGTGACTTGTGGCGGTGGCTGCAGGGTGACGTGTGGCGGCGGCTGGGTTCAGCGCCCAGAGTGCCGCTAGAGGGATGCTTCATGTGCCGTGATACTCAATACAGATATGAAAGACGGCCACCGCTCAAAAAATCGATCGTGGAAATTAAATAAATCGAGAGAAAACAGCGGGACAATGAACGCAGTTACAGCCAGAATTTGTTTTGCATCTTAATGACAGCTTGCTTCGAACCGCTTGCCATCGGACATTATAGCTTCCCCCAACTTGCTTGAGTCAGAAACATGGAGTTGAACGGCCCGAGTCGGACGTGCCAAAGAACCGTGCTAGTAGGACGAACCACACTCCGGCAAATCAACACCCAGATCAAGCTCGACCACGCGTTGCAGTGAAGTGTTTTGGTGGTCTGACTCAACATTCTGACCGCCAAAATCCCTGCGAGAGTTTGTGCCGCGCTCGAGCTGCGCAGTGACCCAGGTCCGTGTCCGCAGGGCATCTGGGACTCGGAGCCGGGTGACCAGGGCTGTGCCGTGCTGGCCAACTCGAACGGGTTGCAACTGCTCACGCCCGTCCAATGCCAGGAGTCGTACAAGTTCATCTGCCAGTGGCAGCCCGGTGAGTCGAGGCATCGAGAGCCGCTCCTGACTGATCCAGGGATGATCACGTGGTCTTGCTTTTTTGCTAAGCGGGATTTCGGTAGGATAGCAGTAACACCATCGTCGCTTAGAGCATGCGTCACATAAACCAAAGCCTCAGATGAGGAGGACTCATTCATATGTTTTGAGCGCATTTGTCGCTGGTTGCAGATTTGGTGAGCTCCGTTGTGCCGGAGATCGACCCCGAAGGTGCCTGCTTCAACGACGACCCGTACCCACTCGGCCCCGACTTCAGTGGTAAGATTATCCCCGGTGATATTCGTTGGCTTCCTAGTCGCACAAGTGGCTCTGATTTTCGTCGTTTTGGGGTTACGGCCTTTCGAGATCGTCATTGCAGCAGAGACCAGTGAGATTTTCATCTCCGAAAGTGGGAGCTCAGCACATTTCGATTGGCTTAATGAGAAAACCGACCAAACTAGCACAGCATCTCTTCAGTCCGATCCTATCATGAGAGGAAATGCCATCAGCCTCTATTGCTGAAGCGTGTTGGGGACAGCCATCGCCGCCTGAGGTGCGGTGTGGTATTCTCGGATGGCCCAATCAAAGCCTTGTTGCGATGGGGACAGCCATCGCCGCCTGAGGTGCGGTGCGGTATTCTCGGATGGCCCAATCAAAGCCTTGTTGCGATGGGGACAGCCATCGCCACCTGAGGTGCGGTGTGGTATTCCCGGATGGTCCGATCAGGGCTTCGTATTGTTCCGCGGGCCTGGCCTTTGCGGATAGTTTGGCACCGGTCGTACCTCATTGGCAGGCGAGTGGACTGCGTACCGACATCTGCGACACCGTCTGCCTTTCAGTGTCGCCTGGCGACTACGATCCTTCCAGCGTCAACTCGGAAATGTGCAAGCACCGCTGCCAAACGCTCAAATTCATGTACGCTGGCGTGAAGAATGGCATGTTCTGCTTCTGCAGCAACGTTCTGCGTGAGTAGAGCGCGTCACGCCCGTGTCTGCTCAGCGAAACGGTGGTGTGAGACTGTGATGCGATGGTCGATCGAGTACATCTACGCAGGGAATGACGGTAAGGTATTATCGATGCCCCCTTCTCCGGACTGGCTGCTTTTGATGTTCCTCGTACACCATCGACCACCGGCAATCACAGTTAAACGTGAAACATCGGTCCTCTTGGTACCAGCCGAAGTATTTCATCTTCTTCCGTCACCAATTGCACTTCATCTGACAGATTTGGTTGCTGTTCGTATCACAATCAGGAAGACGAATCGGTTGCCGCTATGCTGGTGCTGGCATGATCTCTGCGACATGATGCTGCCCCCCCCCTGAGCTTGAGCGCTGCCCTGACCCCCCCCCCCCCGTCGTGCTCGTGGGTAGGCATCGAGCGCGTGGCCGCCAGCAACTGCGACGTGCCGTGCACTGACGTCGCTGCCGGCGGAACGTGCGGCGGGAGCGATAACTACGTCCAGGTGTACCGCACGGGGGGCACGGTGAGCACGCCGGCGGCCGGGTCCAAGACGACGCCCCCCGAGGCCAGACAGGCGCCGCAGAATGTATCCCCCAGCGCGGAACAGGACCTTAACAGGGCTTTATCTGACACCGCGAGCCATGCTGTGCGCGCGAGACTTGGGAATGATCTGTGAATGGTTTGGCAGATTTACAACGATGTCTGGCAAGCGTGTGCCGTGCTACAAATATCCAAGAGTTTTTACGATTGAACACCTTGGCCAGTGCTGGGTTGCGAGCGCGCTCTGAGTTTGGTCGCGATAGGAGAAAACCGAAGTGTGGACACGTTCTGAATGTGACCCCCTGTCCAACATGGCGGTAGCTGACGAGTGTTGTACACGTGCACACCCAGGCGGAGATAACCGGGCCCTCAATCGTGGCGGAGCAGACCACCATGCAGCCGGTGGACACCGAGTTCACATTCACGGCCGGCGTGGAGGCCGGAGAGCAGGTCCTCATCTCGTGAGTCTCTGTCCGACATGACCCGGGCTGCAGGGCCGAGGCAACCCTGCGGCGCCCCAGCGACACTCACTCACGCACGTAACGACACGGAGACCACCCTGCGGCGCCTCAGCGACACTCACTCTCCCACGCAACGGCACGGAGACAACAAAGGCACGGACTGCAGGGCCGAGACAAGCCTGCGGCGCCTCAGCGACACTACTCACGCACGCAACGACACGGAGACAACCCCGTGGCGCCTCAGCGACAATCACTCTCCCATGCAAGGACATGGAGACAACAAAGGCCCGGGCTGCAGAGCCGAGACAACCCTGCGGTGCCTCAGCGACACCCACCCACGTAACGACACGGAGACAACAAATGCCCGGGCTGCAAAGTGCAAGGCCGAGACAACGCTGCGAAGTCTCAGCCACACTTACTCACCCACGCAACGGCACGGAGACAACAAAGCCACGGACTGCAGGGCCGAGACAACCCTGCGGCGCCTCAGCGACACTCACCCACGTAACGACACGGAGACAACAAAGGCTCGGGCTGCGGGGCCGAGACAATCCTGCGGCGCCTCAGCGACACTCACTCACCCACGTAACGACACGGAGACAGCAAACAACGGCAGCGTCTCGTGCAGACGCGTGCAAAGCAGCAGCAGCACGCGGCTATCTATGATCTCCAAGGTGGACGGACGTGCGCCAGAGAACGTTCTCCACCGTCCAACTATCTCCCCTGGTCGCGATTTGTGAATACCTGGCCTCAACAGATCTCACGCGCAGCAGATATTGTGATCAGTACGAGCGGATCGCGCCCCGTGTGCCGCTGTTGTGATTGGTTTTGCCGCTGTTCTGAGCCCACTGATTGGCTTTGCTGCTGCTGTCGCGTGCCTGCTGCCGCTGCGAGGGCCGGCTCCGCCCGTGACCGCCCGTGACCGTGTCCAGGTACGACTTCGGTGACGGCTCTGACGTCACGCTGCCGTCGATGGAGGCGACGACGGCCGCCTACAAATACAGCATGCCGGGCACGTACACGGTCACCGCCATCTTCACCGACGTCCCAAAGGTGGCCAAGGTGGGTCAAGAGTCGGCAACACAGCGGCAGCCGGAGAAGAACGTCTCGATTCGAATCTCGCGCTGGACGCTTCTGCGTTTTTGAGGCCACGTTGCAGCAATCGATGAGAGAGTCGATGCTATTCATTATCGCACTGTCATGAAAAAACGTCACCTACAGGACATTGATTCCAAGTGCGGGACTTTGGATGGCTACTTCTCCCTGCCATCAAAGACAGCGGTAATAGTGGAATGGCTTCAATTCAATCATTCTTCTCAGAAACGGCCCACATTGATCCCTATTGACATTTGGCATGTCGGAACCATTGTGTTGTAAGTTGCACTGCCTGCCTGATTCATGCGGGCTGGTCAGCCTCGTCGCCGTTCCAGATTCTGTGTGCGTTGTGTAATAACTGGCGGTATCCTGTGAAGACGAGCGCTGAGTGCTGTCGTTCGCAGAACTCCCGTCCGGGCCTGAAGGAGCTCGTCGCGATATCTGGGCACAGGTCCTCTCACATGTTCCGATTCCACAGTCTGAGCATGTACAGATGGAGGTGGCCAGTACTCGGCCGGAGTTAGATGGCTCTTATCAGTTCTGCTCCTTTGCCGCATTGTTTGCATGCACAGTGCACGTGACGCGGCGGCAGGTAGATGTATCTGGCCTACGCGGGCCCTCAGGCGCACGTAACGCGCCTTCTGAAGACGTTGGTATGTGTAGATGGACGAGCCCTACGACCAATACGGTTCTAACAGACATCTGCTCTAGTCGGTCGCGTGCGCAGCCGGCCGAGCTGGCAGTGCGTCAGGCGCCTCTCTAAATGACCGCAATGACGGCCGACGCGGGTGCGATGTGCGCCGACTTCGGTGACCGTTGACCGCAGGCGAAGTACCAGTCGACCACGGTGACGGTGGGGGAAGAGGTGGGCCAGGTGGAGCTGGACTGTCCGGACGTGGTGGAGCCCGGGGACGAGGTTCAGTGCCAGCTCTGGCTGGTCACCGGCTCCAGCCTGACGCTGACCCTGCACATGGACAAGACGACCAGCGAAGCTCAGGTGTACAGCCTGCCCGGTGAGTGCAGCGGCCCCTAGCCTGCGGCACCGCTACCGGTACCGGCTGCGGCGGCTCCGGCCTGCGGTACCGCTACCGGTACCGGCTGTGACGGCTCCGGCCTGCGGCACCGCTACCGGTACCGGCTGCGGCGGCCGCCGGCCTGCGGCACCGCTACCGGTAGCGGCTGCGGCGGCCGCCGGCCTGCGGTACCGCTGTCGGTACCAGCTGTGGCGACTCCGGCTTGCGGGACCGCTATCGGTACCGGCTGCGGCGGCTCCGGCCTGCGGTACCGCTATCGGTACCGGCCGCGACGGTAAATGTGTCAGCTGGCGCGCGTACCTCCCCGCGCGAAATATCCGGAGATTGACGCCGGCCTATATCATTGTGATATCGTATCATAAAATAACTTAGCATTTTCATTGATTTGGATAAAACTAATGCAGGGCTTTAATAAGCTAACTGATTGCCACGTTTATTTCCTTCTCAAGTGCACACATCTTTTTTGAATGCGGCTTGGTTTGAATTAGGCCTCTTTCGACCAGTAATGACATTTTCAAGACTACGGAAGGAAGAGGAGAGACGAGTAGTGGGACAATGCTGCGTTGACCTTGGTGACCCCTGCTATCGAACATTACTCCCCACAGTGACCTTTCATTCGGGAGTTTGTGCGGACGCTCGGGCGGGGTTCCCATCAGGGATTCTTGAGCCAACGCATGACGGATGACCTCAGCCTGCCCTGCCGAGACGAGTCGTTGTGAGGACTCAGGATGCAGGGGTGACATAGCGCAGCTGGTGTCGTCTACCGCCCCTCGAGCTCGGCCGCTCCAAGTCGCCTGACCGACCCGCCGCCCCACCCCCGGCCGGCAGACCCGACGGTGCGCGCCATCGGCCTGACGCCTCCGCAGCTGCCTACTGCGGACCTGCGCGCCGAAGCGCCCACCTTCGAGCTGGGGCGGTACACGGCACCGGAGCCGGCTGGCCGCCGCCGCAAACGCAGCCCGTGAGTGGGCCGGCGCGAGTCGCGCACGGACAAGGAGGCGACGCTGGGGGAGGGCTCGGGGCACCGGCGGGGTCGGATGGAGGGTGGCGTGAGCGGGGTGGCTGCCGCTGCGCTCATGCCTTAGACTTGTTAAATAATAGCCCTCGAGTCTTGCGTAAAGGGAGATGTGGGCTGGCATGGGCGGTGATGTGTCTTTTTTCACACTTTCCGTTCTTCTTGGAGACGTCTCATTTGGTTCGCTCCGCACGATAATTAAGTTCATCTTGCTAACCTAATATCAAGCCAACATTAAGATTCAGCCACCAAAAGAATGCTAGTACGAGCGAAATATCAGATTAAACTGCATGACAAAAGTGCCAACGTGATGTGACAAACAGTCTATTGACACTACGTAAAATGCAAGGGTCAAAAGTTTTCTGGAGAAATGGTAGTCCCTCAGCCATTCCTTGATACCAGAAAGTGCCCTGACTCCAGCTCACGATAGGAATTTCAAAATCAACCATTCTGCTGGATCGGTATTTTGAAGGCCACGGTCGGAACATTGCTACTCAACAATCATCGTCGTGAAACATATCCGTATCCCGCAACCGTGCAACAGGAACGTCTAAAAACATTTCAAGGGCTGAGGTGCTCAAGTTTTGCTTGCGAACAACAAGCTGTTGACCAGGCATTCTTAATGTGTCATCATTTTTCTTTGGTCCGTAATAGATGATGATAGATGGCTACTGAAGTTAGCGTCCGTGAAATTCCACGCAAGCACGTTCCCGTTTGTTTTTCTACAGTGCAAGCTGGAGCTCCTTCTCATCTACGGTATCCAAAACCTGGTCGAGCATAACCAGCTCTTCCAGTTCGACAAGCATCACTTCATTCAGCAGCTCTTCGTCCAGCAGCTCTTCGTCCAGCAGCTCTTCGTCAAGCACCTCTTGGTCCAGCAGCTCTTGGTCCAGCAGCTCTTCATCCAGCAAAACTTCGTCCAGCAGCTCTTCGTCCAGCAGCTCTTCGTCCAGTAGTTCTTCGTCCAGCAGCTCTTCATCCAGCAGCTCCTCGTCTGACAGCTCTTCGGCATCAGGAGGCTCTAAATTCTCATCTAGAACCTCCGCGAAGGACAGCACCTACTCCAGCAACCCCAAAGGCCCGGGGGCGGCGGTCAGCGCGGCCTCCGGCGGTCCCGCTCAGTCGGGCGTTGCAGGTACGCTAGCTGACGTCATCGAAGGGGCGCGACGCAAACGCCACAGGGGCAGATTCCCAACTGTTGCGAACACCGCAAGGGCAGACTCATAACTGTCGCACACGACGCAGGGGCAGATTCACAACTGTCACAAGCGCCACAGGGGGCATATTTACAACTGCCGCACACGCCGCAGGGGCATATTCACAACTGTCGCGCACGCCGCATGGGGCATATTCCCAACTGTCACATACGCCCCAGTAGCAGGTGCCGAACTCTTTCAGCTGGGTCTGGGAGGATCATGTGCCGCGTACCTGAATGACCAGGAGCGTTATAAAGACATTATTTTTATATGAACTCGTCACTACATATTCCAAAAGTTTGCGCACTGTATGCAAGCGTTATACCCTTTGGTGCGTTTTGAGCACACTCCTGCCCTGGCGTGAGAGAGCTGGGGTGCTTGCTGTGTTGCACTGAAAAACAGTGACGCGTCAAATTCGCCTGTGAAATTGCACTCAGTCGTGACACCGGGGTGGTGGGTACTGCGACCTTGGCAGGTGAAACGTACGAGGCAACGGCAGTCATCATGCCTTGGGCGAAGGTTACCGACCGCTCCGTTCTGGTTGGATTCGAGTATTATGCTACAAAAGCCGGGGGCCTGAAGCTGATGGTAAGATTTCTTTGGAGTACAGTGGAACTCTTCTCGTTCATGGCTAAAAGCTTGGTTATATGCAATGCGGACTTTGCAAAATCTCATTGCTGTTTTGCTTTTTTATTTGATTTTCTGGACATATCGTTACATGCATGTGCTTCGTAGCACACAGTTGTATGTGTAAAACTCGGTAATGGTGAAATAATCTCAACCACCCCACTGTTCTTCACTTTGTGCCCCTCGCTGTGCGCTCCTTTGTGCCCCTCGCTGTGCTCTTCTTGGTCCGATCATCAGTCACTGGTGCCGTCGTCTCGCTGCCGCCCGCCGCAAACGAAGCGAGCCGCCCGGCCGGCAGGTGTTCCGGCCCGACTGCCCTGGCAGCTACTGCCACTCGTCCGGCAAGTGTGACGACGCGCTCTGCGACGACGTCGACCAGCTGACGGTGGCGTGCGAGGCGTCCGACCCCTTCTACTCGCAGAGACGCCAGTGCGAGGCCGTGAGTGTCCGCGGTCGAACAGCCCTCGCTCTGGACGACGGGCTGCGCTGGGCACTACCTTCAGTATGACGTCATGACGTGACGTCAGGGTGTTCTAAAATAAGAATGTGACAGTGTTTCAAATGAAGGTGCAGCTTTCGCCCAGAAAGGCACCGGAGTAGGTCGGCGTGAAACATTTCACCCGGAACACGATCAGTCGATGTCTTCCGCTGAGAGTCCAAGCATGTAGATGCTAACACCGCGCTTGTACATCCCGGTGCCACTCCGCCGGGCTAAGCTCTGTCAGGCTGGCCCTAGGCCTGTTCCGGTTCTGTTCTGTCCAACTCCGGCGCCTCATCTCCACCCTGACGTGCTTCTGATGTTGCTCCGCTGACCGCTCCCCGCCTCCGCAGTCGGTGTGTGGCGCCGGCGGCAGCGCAGCGCCCCTGGCGGCGGCGGCCGACAACGGGACGGCCCTGCCGCCCGGCGTGGCTGGCTACAGGGCGCTCTACTCTGTGTCGGAAACGGTGGCGGGGCCCGGCTACGGCAAGCTGCTGGTCGACTCCAGCCTGGCCACCGCCAGCTGGCTGGAACCGGGTGACGTCATCGGCTACGTCGGCAGCGGCGCGCAGCTGGGCTGGCGGGACACGCGACCTGGCGAAGGTCGGTGGGCGGCGCGCAGCTGGGCTGGCGCGACACGCGACCTGGCTAAGGTCGGTGGGCGGCGCGCAGCTGGGCTGGCGCGACACGCGACCTGGCTAAGGTCGGTGGGCGGCGCGCAGCTGGGCTGGCGCGACACGTGACCTGGCGAAGGTCGGTGGGCGGCGCGCAGCTGGGCTGGCGCGACACGCGACCTGGCTAAGGTCGGTGGGCGGCGCGCAGCTGGGCTGGCGCGACACGCGACCTGGCGAAGGTCGGTGGGCGCCGCGCCGCGACAGACCGACGTAGTGGCTGGTGCGTGGTGTCATTGCTCTCCCACGCACTGCAGCATGGCCACCAGGGTTTGTGCGTGGCTGCCCCGCCAGTATCGGCGATGGTCGTCCCGATTTACCAACGCATGCGTCCATTGCAAGCGGTCGCGTCTGTCCGCATCTATGAAAAGTTCCCGACCTCTCGCTGCATCTGCGGCAGAGTAGCTCTGGCTGCTCAGTCCAGCGCGCCGCCCGGCATCTTGTCACTGGCCGCCGTCCGCTCCAGAGAGCGACGTGGGCTCGGTGAGCAGCACCGGCTCGGACGGCGGCTCGTCGGGCACGCTGCAGGCGCGCCACTACCTGCGCGCCATCGTCTCGTCGCCCGTCCAGCTCACCATCAACCACACCTACGACGAGATCGGCGCGTATGAGATGTTCGCCAGCATCGTGTCCGAGGGTGACATCGCGTCGGAGACCAGCGCTGGAGAGGCCATCGACGTTCAGGTCAGGGTCGTTAAGGGTCAGGTCACCGGTCATCACGGGTCAGGTCGGAGGTCGTACCGCGGTCAGGCTTCCGCTGGAGACGGTAGAGGGCGCGGCTAATCTGGCTGTGGCTCATTCCACTTACTTTGCAATCTGATCCTGGTCAGGTCGTCACGGATTAGGAGGGGGTCACCGGGAGGGGTACAAAAATAGCCCATAGGCTCAGCAACTGAAGTGCTCACCAATAATTATACATGCGCAAATGAATTCGTCCAGTCTGTCGTAATTGTTGTAACTAATCACGCGCAGCTGGGAACCCGGACGCCATCATTCCATCTCTAGACTGCAGATATATCCCAGTTCATCTCCACTCTCAGTGCTCAACTGAACACCAAAAGCGACGAGGGTCGCGCAGCTGGCTGTGTAACTGGCTGGGCGCATGCGCGCCTTCGACAGAAAAAAGTGACGTCACCTGTTCATCCTCTGGCCTGATGTTACCACCAGTGTTCTATTCCCCTGTTAGTGCCTACTGTTTTCCAAAAGTGCACCACCCACTGATCGAGACTGCCACTCCTTCCACCCCGGCAGGTTCCCATCAAGAAATTCCGCGTGACCATTGACCCAGAGCACGTGACCACCAATAACAAGACCAACATCACCGTCTACATCGACGCCGGCAGCTACGTCACCGTCAGCTTCCAGTTCGGCGAGGCGCACTTGGGCGGCAAGGACGAGACGGAGCAAGCAGAGAGTGAGTTCCCAGCCGCGGGCCGTCGCGGCTCGCGGCTAGCGTCCGATCTGGCGACAGAAGGGTCGTGAGATCGCTACTTGCTGCCGATTGTTTTCGCGGTGCGCGGCCGGTGCCGATGGCCGTGTTTGCAGCCGTGGTAAATGTGGAGGGCAAAGGCGCCCCAAAATGTAGTTTGAGAAAGCCATCTCAGCCGTGTCTGGGCCCCGCATGCGTCAGGCACTGACAGTATATCAAATGCTCCCTGTGGAATCAAATAGCCTCAAAATGTGAGACCTCAGTCAACAATCAGCTGGCTCACCGAACGTTCTCGACAGCTTGGGGAAAAGCGACTTAACTGGCCGCGTGAAGCTGTGAATAATGTGCCGTATCGAGGCGGCCAGCTAGGCCCTGATTAAGCTCAGCACCAACCTCAACGACATGCCCCATCACCAACATCACCATTACCAGCATCATCCCATCATCATAAGAAACAATAACTGTCACTGCACCCATCGCATCTACCATCGACCTTACTTAAATAACCTTCGCCATCACGCTCGTCTGCATTATCGTCATCAACGCTGGCGTGTTCCCGCACGTTGTCTCACCACCGTCGCAGCGATCGTCGCTGACGCAATCGTTATCGTTACCACCATCCGCGCGGTTTCAGACATCGAGAAGGACGCGTGGTCGCACATCTACTGGTACCGGCGCGGTGATCCCGGGCCGCGTTACGTCATCATCACGGCCAGCAACGAATGGAGCACCGAGGAGTTCCGGCACACGCTGTACGTGCAGAGGCCCGTCACCGACAAGTGGTTCCTGCTCGACAACGCTCCTGTGCTCTGGCCCGTGCCGGGTAAGCTGTCTGCGCTGGGGAGGCGTGCGGAAGGGGCGGATCCGCACACCGGCTCAGCTGCCTCTGGAGGCCATTAGAGGACGAGGCCCGAGTGGACCGCGTACTCGCTGAGCTGTCTTTAGCTCGCTTGAAGGAACGCGTCGAGCGAATGCCGCACTCGCGCGCTCTCGTGTTGAGGGGTCGTGTTGAGACGTACGCGTGGGGAACTGTCTCCCAGCGACAGCACCGGAAGGTCGTTCTGGCGTGTCAGTCGCATCCACGGCGTGCACGCACGTGGCCGGGGTGCATATTCAATTATGTCACAAGATGCGTCACATGAAAGAGTATGCAGGTTGTGTATGCTGGTGCAGGTTGTGTTCAGGTCTTCTCGGAAGTAAATCAACCTAAAAAGTAAATAATTAAGTACAATTAACTGAAAGGTAGACTGTGACTTAGAATAGTTATGGTGTTTACTTAAGGTCTCAGTCAGTCTTAAACTAAATTTTTGCGGCAAAGGGAACGAAAAAGTTCCACATTTGACAGCGCGGTTAGCCAACGTCGGTCATATCCGTAACCACCAAACACAGCAGCAACGCAGGCTGTGAGCAAATGTCAGTCTCGCGAATGTGACGCCTTAAGAGGGTCCATCCCTCGGGCGATACTGCCGCCATTGGTGTCGGAACAGAGCAGCCACGCCTGCTTGCTGTTGTAAAGCTCCACACGGCTTCACCGGCGCCTGGTCCCGCCCCAGGCGACGTGAACTACACGGTGGTGTACCCGGCGAACCTGCTTCTGCCGACCATGGCGTCAGCCCAGCTGTTCACCGGTGACGGATACGTCATTGAGTGGGAGATACCCGAAGAGAGGGAGGCCGACACTATTTACGAGGTTGGGTACAACAGGTGAGCCCAGGGCGCGCGCGGACCATCACTCGCCCGCCGCGGAGTGTCCGCGGAACACGCGCTCTTTCGTCACCTCGCATATGGAGTGCGTGAAAAGAGGGAACATAAAGCACCCTTTATTTCACAAATACCAGCCTCTCGTGCCACCATCGCCCGGTAAGCGGAGTTTTCGACGATACCGACAAACTATTCGCATGCAGAGAAGCATGCTTACGCGGCGCCACACTGCAACGCTGGATGTCCCGTTTCAGGACGTATGCGGAGGAGGGCACTTACCGCGCGAAGCTGCGCGTCTACAACCTGGCCTCAGAGTTCGAGATGACCAATCGGGTGCCAGTGTGGGCAGAAATCAAGAACCTCTCCACCAGCGCCTATTATCTGCCATTCCTGCCCATCGGTAGGCGATAGCGACCTCCAAAGGATGTAACCAAACCAGTACTTGTATGGTTCGTGTAGTAGTACACCATCTGAAGCCGGATGACTGAGCATTTTTATGAAACAAATGCTTTGATAGGATAATGCGCTAGATTCGCTTTCGTGTGTGGCGAATGTGGGATTCACTTGCAGCTAGCTTCAAGTTACGAGCATGGATATCTACTTGCAAGGCCGCCGAACTTGGTGGTCTGGCGTTACACCGACAAGTATTGTATCATTTCAATGTATTGCTAAGTATAATTAGAGTGCACGCCTATTATATTACGCCTGCCGCGATTAAATGCATCATATGCTGTAAACCATGAGTGGTGCCGCCGCGTACCGCCACAGAGCAATACGGCTGACGAAGCGATGCTTCCCGCCTGTACCGGCAGGTGGCGACACCTACATGCCGGGGCAGGGTCCAGAGTTCGACTCGTTCCCCATTGAGAGGAACGTCTCTTTCTTCCTCAATATGACGCAAGGAACCATCTTCCAATATCTTCTGGAGATGGATAATGGAACATTCCTCACCAACTCTTCTACCTCCCCGGTCGACTACATGTTCCCCGAGGTATGATGCCCGGACAACATGTTCGCGACGTCCTTCACTGCTTTGCTTGTCTGGTTTTGGTTGCCTGTCTATTCGCAGCATCGTAAGCGACTAAAGCTTGTCAGAGTGGCACTGTTATTTCGTCTTTGGTGATGATTCCCACACTGGTGAGCCTAAAAACCAAGCAGATGACTAAGTGGGCTCGCAAGGTTGGGGTGCCGGTGTAACGGTGTCGCCTACCTCCCAAAGCCGGCACACGTGATTTCAGGGTAATGGTGGCGTACGTCAGCCACGGCCCCAGTATGAGCCCAGCTGTGTGAGGGTCGAGAGCTGCACACATCCTGCTGCGAGCTGCCGTCTGAGTGGGAGTTCGTACGCTCGTCGCCACCACTCATGTTCTTTGCGCCTGTTGCTGCATCCACCCGGCTAGGTGACATTCCGGCAGTTGTCGCCGCCGAGCTCGAGGCGGTGACATGAGCGTCGGAGGACGCAACTTATACCAGGTGACGTGCTGCGTGGACGTATGTCAATGTCGCTGGTCCGTTTTCAGCCAGGCACGTATTCAGTGAGCCTGTATGGATGGAATCCTCTGCAAGGCCGCTCCATGCCCGTCAACTTGACCGTAAAAGGTACGTTCACACCGTCGATCCACTTGTGTCGAGTGACGGTTTTATAGGCTCTTAACAGCTCTGGCAACGTAGCCGATTTTACACAAGTGCTTGTTTGTGCTGAACACTTGTAATGGCGTCAAATATGGAGTACTTAGCATGCATTAGAAACTGTATAGTTAACGGATAAATAAAGTATTTCCCAACCGAAACATTATTTGAATAAGTGCACTTAGCCTTTTACCGACACCACTAATGCACGGTCCCACGAGCCGAGGTGATCAGTTGGCTATGCCTCTCTTAACGTTGGGTCTACAACTGAGCCCGGCTCAGCGTCGCCTGCAGTGACGCGTGACGCGTGGCGGCGGCGCTCTGGGGCTGCCGTGACGCGTGACGGCGGCGCTCTGAGGCTGCCGTGACGCGTGACGGCGGCGCTCTGAGGCCGCCATGATGCGTGACGGCGACGCTCTGAGGCTGCCGTGACGCGTGATGGCGGCGCTCTGAGGCTGCCGTGACGCGTGACGGCGACGCTCTGAGGCTGCCGTGACGCGTGACGGCGACGCTCTGAGGCTGCCGTGACGCGTGATGGCGGCGCTCTGAGGCTGCCGTGACGCGTGACGGCGGCGCTCTGAGGCTGCCGTGACGCGTGACGGCGACGCTCTGAGGCTGCCGTGACGCGTGACGGCGGTGCTCTGAGGCTGCTGTGACGCGTGACGGCGGTGCTCTGAGGCTGCCGTGACGCGTGACGGCGACGCTCTGAGGTTGTCATGACGCGCCCCCAGTGCTGGAGTCGGCCGTCAATGCCATCATCGACGACTACCTGCTAGTGTCAGAAGCCAAGTCTAACAAGGATTTCGAGATCCGAATGGCGTCGGTCGGGACGTACGCCTGCCTCATCTGGAACCCTGGCGACGGCTCCAGTAAGTGCCACACGGACGCGGGCCCGAGCTCGTGACGGCGGTCCGGGAGCGGGTGGGGTGCTGCTGGCGGGGAATGCAACGGCTAGCAAAATAAAACCGCAGAGCCAGACCCCGGCACTGCTTGAGATGCTGATTGCATGTTGCGTAATCGCTCAGTAAGCGAGGGCAAAGTTTGTGTTTTTGATGAGATGCTCTGAATATTGCATAGTTGCTCTGTAGGTCTGGTCTGGTCTGTAGCACTCTGAGGTAATCCGCATCTGTGACCATCCAAGTTAATGAAGCGACTTAACTGATACAGACTGGACTGGACTGGCTAAAGGTTTGGTGGCCGACAGGCTGAAAGAAACAGCTTATTCAGCGTACTTATCTTCCAGAACTGCACGGATTCGGGGACCGCGACACATGCCACGATGAGTACTCGCCGGGCAGCTATATATACGGAGGACAGATCTTGAACCCCATGCCCCTCAGCGTACGTATAAGGTCCTCTTTGCTAGAACTGGATCGTGAACTCATGCATTCAGAGCTTGTTAGCAGCAGGTTGGATGCGATAACCGTCTGTGTGCGCATTGCATTCCTGTATGTGCTGCTCTTTATACGTTGTTGACTTTTCAACTCATGTTTTCTGCGATTAGGACTGACCATGGAGATCTTAAGGTTGGAGTGCACGCCACTCCACCTCTCCAGTGGACCTACATGAGAAAGGGTCATTGCCAGATATTACGCACCTTCCCCTCTCTAGTGGACCTACATGAGGAAGGGCCAGTACCGGATGAGTGTGCACGCCTTCAACTTCCTGTCGTCGTCGCGGAACGAGCTGCCGTTCACGGTGTCGTCGATCCCGTGCCGGCCGCCGGACCTGATGGTGCGGGATAACTCCACCGAGTTCTGGATGCCCAAGGTGAGCGGGGTGCTCTCGCGGCCCGCCGCCTCGGAGCCGGTCGGGCGGCGGCGGCGCTCCTGCAGGAAGGGAGCCGCGGCTACCCACCGCGTCAGGCTGCACTGTGGGGCTTGGGCGGATCATCTTCTTCTGTTCTCCTGTTCTTCCCGGTCCTGGATGTGTGCACATGAGAGATCAGTGACAGTTGATCTATTCCGTGCATGTAGCACCACTGAACAGCAGCACGTTAACCTGTGGGTGCCGGATTGTCCGCAGCCCCTGAAGCCGCCGCGCCAATGTGTCACAGCACGGTCCTCACCCGCTGCGAGTGACTCCGCCCCGGTCCTGACCGTCCGCTCTGCGCGCTCTGCCTCCAGGAGTTCTACAGGAAGGACCCAGTACAGCTGGTCACTGTGTGCGCCATCGACTGCAACGCCTCGCTGGACACGTCCAAGACGTGGCGGGCCGCCATGATCAACGAATCGTGAGTGGCCGGCTGACGGTCCGCGGTTCGGTCGGCCTGCTCGGGTCCCTCCGCCGGACCGGCTGACGGTCCGCGGTCTGGTCGGCCTGGTCGGGTCCCTTCGCCGGAACGGTTGACGGTGCAGCGGTCCGGCCGGCCTATTCTGAACCACCCAACGCCGGACCGCGGCGTCGTGCTCGACCGGTTCTGAGAATGGACGCTACGTTTAACACGTCCCGGGTGGCCGGCTAGATACCTTCCACTTGGGCGGGGGGGGGGGGGGGGGGGCGGGGCCAATTTGACCCCACTGGGATCTTGGAAGCTAAGGAAGCTTGAAACACCAAATTTACAGGGTGTCTTGACCTATACATGAACTCACCTAGGTCAAAGTTTCAGCTTCCTAGGTCGTGATGTTCAGGTCAAATAACGTCTAACAAGGTCAAAATCCAGGTTGGTCTCTTAAGTGCCCCCAGAACCTAGGCAACTGTTTCTAAGCAAAAGATCACAAGCTCGTTTGAGGTCAGTGACCTTGTTTGACCTTTTGAAGGTCATGGTGACCAAAATCATACAAGACTGCTCTGAGTTTTTTATTTGAATAAGCGGCAAAGATTACGCTAGGCAATATGTTCCTAAAACAAAATGTCGACCCGGGTCATCTCAGGTCAATGATTTGTTCTGACCTCTAAGAAGTCAATGGAAGATGTATAATGCGGTTCTTGCTGTCAATGAATTTGAAATGAGCACCACAGACTATTCCATGTAGCAAGCACTAGAGTAATAAATCGAATTGGTTTTGACCTTGGTCTGACCTGAGCTTAGTTCAGCGAAATTTGCTCATTTTATATATGTGGTGCTTAAGAAAGCATCTCAGAGATGTATAGATTCGTCGAACACCACGTTATTGTATCAGATTGGACAATTCCCCAGAAATCGCCTTCGCTGCAACCATGGCCTGACTTTGACCTGCCATAGGCCAGTGATCTCACAAGGAACGTCTAATTTTTTTACGTGAAACGATTCGCTATTCAATTTTCTACTGCTATGCAAATTTTGGCGCGGCTGCGAGGCCTCGTTTGGAAACCGTTCTGGAAAAACCTTCCGGGGGTCAATTTGCCCCCCCCCCACCCGAGCGCGTGTTATTGGGTGTGCTCGCTACTGGGCTGTTGCGGGGCATTATTTTCTACAACTTGCATTCCAATGAGATGAAAATATGGATGCCCTTTTGTTGGGACGCACGTATAAAAGTTGTGAACTTTGTCAACCGTTTTCAAAAATTCCGCGAATTCGTCGTACATATCATCTGCGTTGTCTACAGGTGGGGGACAGAGATGGGTGATGTGGATCTAACTTCATTGGACTCGGCTGTAAAGTCGATTCTCTTCATACCGGCAAGATTCTTAGAGTATGGAACGTACAGATTCACCTACTCTCTACAGATATCGGGCAAGTATCGTGCGCACGGCAATATCAGTGGGCAGGCGTGGTTGCGATCCATGATGTTTTAGTTGATTCAAAATACATAATGTAGAAAGCTTTACATGAATAGATTTCTTGTTAACGTATGTCGAAATCGAGTGATCCAAAAGTGCAAAGTAAAGGCAGGCGCTTATAAGCTTTTATCACACCTTTGCGTGGGGAGTGCCTGCCACCTCCTTGTGTCTAAACAGAACTTACCCACTTTGAATCGCTGAAAACGTAGCAGCGATATCAATTGGACTTAGTGCCCCGCGCATGCTTAGCAATTTGGCGCTCTTTCCTTAAACCAGGGCTAGGTATTTCTAGCTACGTGCTCAATCAACAAGATCACAGTATTTCAATGCTACCTTCTGACGTGCCGTTTCCTTTCCGCCCAGGCGAGGGTATGGACCCCTCGCAGCCGTTCATCAAGAGGGTGTTCACGTTCATCCGCATCAAGAGGTCGCCTCTGATCGTCACCATGGTCGCCGGTGGCAGCTCCGTCATATCCAGAGGCTACAATCAGATGGTGCTCTTAGAGCCCGAAAAGTTCTCCATGGATCCTGACTATCCGGATGACAAGGTAAGAAGATGTCGGAGAGCGAAACGGCAAGCAGGTGTTGCACTCTGGTCAGTGGGTAACAAGGTTTTCTGCGATCCGAAGTCATCGTTGGAGCGCAGTCATTACGAGCGTTCTGCGCCAAACCTCCCGTCGTCAGTCGGCGTCATGCCTGTGGCTTTAGTTTCAGCGTCTGGTTCATTTTTTAGGGTACGCGACCTATGTCCTCGTGAAAAGCTTCATGAAACGTTAGCTACCCCACTGCTCAATGAAGCGTCCAGGACCAATAGCGTCGAAAGGGAGTCTAACTCGGGGCTCTCACTTGGCAGCTATGTTTTCCCGATTGAGCCATGCTGGACCATTCCGAGAAAATGGAACATTCTGCTGTTTAGAAGTTTTCACAGAGGCCCTCCCACAGTTAGCGTGAGATGTGGAATATGTTAAATGGGTCTTAGAGGTGTATGCTTCCAGCTATTCGGTGTACTTATAATCACTTCAAACGGTTTGGCCAAAGCAGAAACGCGCTCGCAATTTCGGAATTAATTGCTTCAAGTCGCTAAGAGCAATAGACGATACATTCCACACTGCTGCTGTGAAATGACTCGGCAACTACCGTCTTATCCAAATTACCCAGCTTGGCAGAACTTTACAGCCGAGTTGTTACTGATTAGTTTAATTTATGTGTATAAAAACTATATAGTTCATCGCGATGTTCTGCGCACTTGATGTCTTCTTTATTAGAGAACGCGTTAACACTTCAGGCATAACTACTACAAGCGTTCCAAACACCCCTGCCTTCGCCGAGCAGAGGCGACGTACCAGGCGGCAACACCTCATGAGACGGCACTGGTTGGCCTCAGGACCTGGAGTACTGGTGGTTCTGCCGGCGGCTGGAGGCGGAGGAGGAGCTGCCCCGCACTCGGTCCGGCTGGTACCTGCGCACCGAGCCGCTGCAGGACCCCATCATGAACGCCACTGTCGAGCTGTACGACTGGGTGTACGACAACGTCACTAACGCCACCTACGAGGTGGAGAAGCCCGACCTGGGCGGCTGCTTCGGCCAGGGACCAGGTCGGTGCGGCCGGCAGGTGGCATGCGAGGAGCGGTCGGCTCCCTGCAGTTAGTTGTTGAGCGCTGATTTTTTGCGTGGCGGGCCTCACACTGGGGCATGATTTCCAGAAAAACACAAAGCTTAGCCTGTACCTTCCCTCAGTATGCAGAAATGCATAGTAGTCCAAGTTTGCCCCTGTAAGGACAAACTTAGATCACCATGCATCGTCACAAACCGCGGTAAACAAACATTTGTTCTTTGTCTACAGCCATGCTCTTCAGGAAAAGCATCATGTTCCAGCGTTCTCTGGCACCAGCACTCCCTGCGCTTGCTCCTTTCTCTTAGACAGAACCTCCAGCGTGTGCTTCCACTGGCAGGCATGCTGAACATCCAAGGCGGGATCCTGGAACTGAACACGATGCAGTTTCGCACGACTAACGTCACGTACGAGATCAGCGTACAAATGCGGAAGCGGGACGCGTCGGACACGCGCAAGGCCATCGGCACCGTGCTGGTGGACGTGGTGCCCGGCTCACCGCCCATCGTCAGCGTCAAGTGAGTGCTCTGATCACATCGGCTCTCAGCGACAAGTGGCTGTCCGGTGCCCACTGACCGTCAACGTCAAGGGAGCTCTGGGTCCCATCGGTCGTCAGCGCTAAGGAGATACTTGCGGATAAGGGAGCGGGGGGGGGGGGGGAGTTGGCAGCCCTAGTCGGCCTGTCATGCCTTTCTGGCACGACTAGAGCTGAATGCGGTGAAGACAGTGCTGGCGGATATTTCCATATGTGGAATGCGCATATGGCTCCGGACGCAGAAGTGGGGGGGGGGGGGGGGGGGGCGGGCAATACTTATGCGAAATCAGTTGCAGCTGGTGACTGATGTAACCCGATAACGTGTGCACCAGGTTATCTCACACAACGCAGATAGTCAAGCAGTCCAACAGCATCCCAGCAGCTCTTTGCCAGCAGCGGAAAGCGGAGGGCGGCTGGGTGACAATGCTTCTCTCTTCGTCCGCCAGGTGTCAGGTGGCGGACATGTGTCGGGTCACGGACAAGGGCTCTATCATAAACCCGAGTTCTCGCGTGGCGCTAGTTGGCGTCTGCGAGGAGCTCTGCGATGGTATGCTCCGCTGGGACTGGAAACTATACTACGTCAGGAACTTTACAGGTCAGTCCAGTGGTGCGGGGCGGGAGTGCAGCCAAGGGGGCGAACGGAGGGGGTGCCATTCCCCACGCCAGGATTGTTTCGTTTTACCACAGATAGCTGCTGACAAAAAGTTAAAAATCGGCGTGAAGTTAACCAGCCGAGTTCGTCCCTCCCTTGGAGAGCACAAAGGGACCACAGTGTACGACGCGCCCCTGAACCACAAATAATGCCCCATAACCCACTCCCTTGAGAACAATTCAGGTGCGCCCTCGATTGTGGGCTGCGTAGCCACATGCGAATGCATTGCTCCTCTTGTCACGTATCATGCTGATTCTGCACGATGTTGTCCTTATGGAGTGACCAGACTTCAAATCATGATAACATACATTGTTTCTCATACAAAGATAATGCCGTTCGTGTAAACGCACTCTCCTTTGGAACAATGTTTTACGCGGCTGTTCCCCGTATTATGCAATATTTCTGAAGTAACAGCGACGTTGAATGCTGCTCGACTACGATATCATCACCAAGCCCGCGCCTCCATTTCAGAACTGACCCTCAGCCGCTCTCAGAACACCACCTCCATCTCAGAGCTGACCCTCAGTTTGTGGGTCCGCTCTCAGAGCACCGCCTCCATCTCAGAGCTGACCCTCAACCTGTCGGTCCGCTCTCCGAGCACCGCCCCCAGCTCAGAGCTGACCTTCAACCTGTCGGTCCGCTCTCAGAGCACCGCCCCTAGCTCAGAGCTGACCCTCAGTCTGTGGATTTGCTCTAAGAGCACTGCCTCCATCTCAGAGCTGACCCTCAACCTGTCGATCCGCTCTCAGAGCACCGCCCCCAGCTCAGAACTGACCCCCAGCCTGTCGGTCTGCTCTCAGAATACCGCCTTCAGGTCAGAACTAGCCCTCAGCCTGTCAGTCCGCTCTCAGGGCGCCCCTCCATCTCAGAGCTGATCCCCAGCCTGTCTGCCCGCTCTCAGGGCGCCCCTCCATCTCAGAGCTGATCCCCAGCCTGTCTGCCCGTTCCCAGAGTACCGCATCCGAGACGGCGAGAAGTACATCATCGGCACTGGCAAGCCGCAGGTGGCCATCAAGAAGGCGCTCTTCTCGGACTACCCGGACATCGTGGAGTTCCGAGCCAAGATGGGCGTCAGCAGGGTGTTTGTGAGTCGCAATACCGCCGTGTGACGTCCGACTTGGTTTTGCCTAGTTTATTTTGGATGTGTGCAAAGCACACGGAGGTTGTATGCGATGAGCGTTATCGCATCTAGCCTCGGCCAGAGCAGAGCGATGTTTTACGGAGCCGTCTGGACGGCGTGTGCCCGCAGCGGGAGTCACAGGAATGACTAATAGCAAAGCCTTGAGTTCAGATTTCTTGTGCTGAATTGTCACCTTTCACAATGCCACATGCCTCAGGTCAGTGTTTCTGAGGGGCTTTAAATCTCGTCTCACTATGTCTACGTTTCCTTTGTTTTTTAGGCAAGCCTGAACTAGATGCGAGATTAATTGCGTCGTTGTTTTTGAAGTCGTTGGTACTTAAAATATCACAAATGTGACGCTTTCAATAAAAGCGGTGTTACCGGTGTCTTGGAGCATACGCCACTGCCGGATGGGCGGCGGCATCGCGGCCGCCCCGTAGCGCGCGTCCCTCACCGCGCCGGGCGCCCGGCAGGACGACGAGACTGGTGTGGCCGTGATGTACCTGCTGCTGAACCAGGCGCCGACCGGCGGCACCTGCATCGTGCAGCCGCCAGAGGGCCGCGTCGTCAACCTGCGCGCGCACGGCGTCTCGGCCGCCGACTACGACCCGGCGATGGTGGCGCCAGGAGCGGACGGCGGCCAGACCGGGAACGACACAGGTCCGAGCGCGGCGTCTTGTTGCGCGGCATTTGCCGTGGTCCCTGTACCTGTTGCGCGACATTTGTCGTGGTCCCTGTCTCTGTCGCGCGGCATTTGCCGTGGTCCCTGTGTCTGTTGTGCGGCATTTGCCGTGGTCCCTGTATCTGCTGCGAGGCATTTGCCGTGGTCCCTGTACCAGCTGCGCAGCATTTGCCGTGGTCCCTGTATCTGTTGCGCCGAGCGCAGTGTCTTGTCGCGCGGCGTTTGCCGTGGTCCCTGTATCTGTTGCGCGGCATTTGCCGTGGTCCCTGTATCTGTTGCGCCGAGCGCAGTGTCTTTTTGCGCGGCATTTGCCGTGGTCCCTGTATCTGTTGCGCCGAGCGCAGTGTCTTGTTGCGCGTCATTTGCCGTGGTCCCTGTACCTGTTGCGCGTCATTTGGCGTGGTCCCTGTATCTGTTGCGCGGGCCAGCCGTGACCATACAATCCGCAAACGATTGAGTATTGCATGCTTCGCACGGCTCTGAGTCGCGTTCTGCGTGGTGAGGCCGCACGGCAGTGGGTTTGAGCCATGGTTTGCCGCGCAGCCTCGCTGGCGGCGAGCCTCCCCACACCGGGACGGGCGCTCGTCGAGGACTGGTACATCGAGTGCGCCGACTTCAAGGACCCCGACGGCGACAAGATTGGAAAATATGTCTTCTTCAGTAAGAGTTGATATCCTATCAGTCTGCCATTGCCACCACTCTTAGTCAATGGAGGCGCAAGACGTTTTCAGTGCAAATGAATGAATGCTGGTCATTTATGGTGTTGATGTGCCGTGTATACCGTGTTGGTCTGCCTGTAAGACAATTTATTTCAATTATTACAGATTGAAATGCAGGAACATCATTAGAGTTTGATACCTATAGTGTTTTAGTTAAACTTTTTCCGCGGTGACGTATGCATAGCGAAGCTAACGGCGGTTTGGATGGGCGTGTTTGTTTCAGTTAAGGACATCACAGAGGGCTTTACCAGAATCCTCAAATTCGGAAAAGACCGAAAAGATCGCTTTGTCTTCCCTTACGGTGTCTGGGAGATGTACGTCACAATCTTCGACAACTTCGACGCATCAAGGGACATCCTAATTGACGTGATCATGGTGGGTTCCACGCATTCCCCACATATGCACACACATACGAGCATGGCCATCCAGGTCGACCATTCTCGTCGAACGATCGCCTTTGACCACATATCATGCGCGTGCGATCTGCCATTGGCCTTTGGCATTCCCGCAGCCCGCCGTGGTGACAGGTTGCCTTGACCTGACCTGACTGAACTGAGTGACCTGAGCTGCCTGTCGTCAGACCTCCACCCCGACCAAGGGCGAGTACGCCGCCTGGGAGGCCAAGAAGACGGTGGCACGCGCTATGGGCGAGGGTGACCAGGCGCGACTCAGCCAGCTGCTGCAGGCGCGCTCCTCCCTGGAGGAGATCGAGCTACCCGACGACCCGGTAACCGACCGCCCGGCACAGTCGGCAGTGCCTACTCTCCCTCTGACCTCTCTGCGTGCAGACATTCCTCTCACGCTCTCTGCGGTCTCTGCGGGCAGGCTGTCCTTTCACCCTCTCTGTTCTTTCCGCATGCAGACTATCCTCGTAAGCTCTCTCCACCGGTTTACCTCACTCACTCTGTTTTTCTTCTTACTGGACTGCTCTCTCCTAGCCAAATTTCACGTGTGTCCAGACCGCACTCAGTTACTCGCGTTACAGCCTTCTTATTCGTATTGTTTTTTAGGCGCAGTCCTCCCCACAACAGCCTCCAACTGTCCTCAAAATTTAGGTCAGCCAGCTTCGACCCCTTCGCTACCATTTGCACTGCACGCGAAGTTTTGAGGTTTGTTGACTGCCTCGACGATGATACAAGATGACAATCCTAAACGAGATATGCTCGCCCAAAAGACAAACAGCGCTTGGTAGCTAACCGTTTCTTTTTTGGGAGTGTATCGGCGCCAGTTCAATATGTGACCGTCAATCGCTTTGACCGTGCTTGATCTCGCACTGAAATCTGCATCCACGACAATGATATTCCATACCTGACTTGGCATGATCTTGACATTGAGCCACTCTTACATCATAACTGTCATATGCTAGGCGTTTTCTTTATAAATGAACAGTTTGGTGTCCCAGTTAAAATAAACTTCAAAATTTTACTTGATGTGATCTTGACCTCAGGTCTCCCTTTTAAAGCTCATGGCACTGATGTTTTTATTACAAAATTGGTTCACACATTCAGACTCACCATAGAATGGCAATGTACACAGAACATTGCAGATGACCACTTCTCAAATTGACACCGCAGAGACAACTCGTACTGAGGTCAAATTTCCCAGTGATTTGCTACGGAGGGAAATGGGAATGTTGGATCAGGTCTAAAACAATTTTAGGTTCGTCTGGTTCAATAACATTATAAGGTACCGAATATTTTTGAAGATGCTAACAAAGAACCGGAAGGCACCGCAATAGCGCATATCATGACAGAACTAACGCCCCGGGGTTCAGTTCCATGCCACAAAGTCGCGCTTTGTCGCCATAATGCGCCAGGTCTCACCAAGATTGCCCGCGATCCCCAAGCCTGCCGCCATGCCGCCTGGTGTCCCGGATGGAGGCCGGAAGCTTCCCCCAGGCGTGTGGGCTGACCCCGGGGCCGGCCGCAGACGGAGACCCTCACCACCACGCCGGCGTACGACTACTACGAGGAGGGCGTCGAGGCCGAGACCATGGACCCCGAGGAGCTGGCCGAGATCATGGCCGAGCAGGAGCGGCAGCGGCTCGATCTGCTTAACTCCAAGGCCAACGTGAGCGCCGCGCGGCCGGCGGTGACTGCTGTCGCTACTGCTGCTGGGCTGGGCTGGGCTGGGCTGGGCTGGGCTGGGCTGGGCTGCTTCCGCAGCCGTCACGTCTGTCCCCGTACAGAGAGGCGTCGGTGGTCGTCCTGCTGTCTTAGACAACACAAGATACACCTTTTGGTGGCATTCACGAGTAGCTGGTAGCTGCTTTCTGTATAGTTTTAGAAGTGCGACCGTTGTTCACGTAAACATGACGATGAACGTCGTCTGGTCCCTCAAATTATTCGGGTTGTACTATGGCAAACGTCCTCTCTTGGCATCCCTTATACTGTCGCGCCCCTGCCAGCTTGTGCACTTGTCCGCTATCGCCTTCTCACCAACGTCCGCGTCCGCCTCGGCCACAGGAGAACAGGGCGATGCTGCAGCAGGTGGAGAACCTCAACCAGAACACGTTGGACGACTGCACGCTGGTACTCGGCACCACGGGAGCCATCGTGGGCGACGGCAAGGCTGTCGACACGGCTGGTGAGGCCCGGGTCTCCGGCGCCCCGGACTGTCGGAGCGCCGACAATGTGTCGGATATGTCGGGCGAGACCCCAGCGCTTGGTGCGGCCATTCGTATGTGCGGTTGAACTCTTTTCTGACTCTCTGACTTTTCTTAGGCTATCTGTTTCACGCTTGCTATGAAGGCATCCTGTCTTGGTCTGTACGAGTGCAAAATGGCCGAAGTAGCCGACGCACTCTATGATACTCATTATCACCATCATCATGTCTCTGTCTGTGGAGCGGGTCCTCTCGGCGCACAGATGTGCTCTGGTGTGCGCCCGCAGGAAAGGACGCCGCCATCCAGGCGGTGGGGGGCACCTGCCTGCAGAGCGTGCTGCTCAACTCTACCCTCAACGACCCCAAGCAGGCCGAGGGAATGGTCACCAGCAACTTAGGCACGGTGACCGCCGTCGGAAAGGTCAGCCATCTGGTGACAAGTCGGCCAATCAGATGCCCGCGAGCATTTCGGGCAAAACACGATACGATAACGTATAAATGTTGACACTAATATTGGACAATTTGCATGTGAAATAGGCTCGCGATGGTGAAACCGATGACCAATATTCAGCAACACGAAACTGGTGATCATGCAAAACCAAGTATGGTTTATCACATGCTGTGTGTTTCATACGAATTGTTTTTGTATTACTCTCAATTGCTGGGGCGGAGACAATGCTGATACAACACAATCTAACCTGCTCTATTCCTAAGCACCCCTTTCTTAAGCCACATGCATGATTATCACATATTCAGTAATCCGTGCATTATTCTAGGGCGCGTTTTTTCTCTGCATTACCTACATAAACCTTATTCATCTCCCATAACAAACGGCTAAAGAATAGACACTTCTGCGGTTGACGTGCATAGAAGCGAAACGCAAGTCCAACGCAAATGGGGTGCAAGCCGTTCGAACAATATCTGAGCATGGGGACATCGGCGACGTCAGCATCTGAACGCGCACCGATGCGTGTACCAACCCTGCTCTTCCTTCGCATGAGACGTCTGTAGTGCAGAGTCTAGCCACATGTCTGCAACATATGATATAAGATTGATCCTGAAAACGAAAACGTATCTTAAGCTTCCAAACACACCGTTGTTTCATCACTGATCGTAACGCCGCGCTGACCCCATCGCGCATAGCGACCTGTGCTCAGCCGGCTATCCGAGCTACGCAGAGTGGCATCCCCTGTCCCGGCGGCGGGCGGCGGGTGACCCCATCGGCAGGCGGCGGGTGGCCCCATCGGCAGGCGGCGGTTGACCCCATCGCGTCGCTGCAGGGCATCGACAACACAAACCTGAACGGTGAGGTGGTGCCCTCTGACATGGTGGAGGCCCGCCGGCGGCGCGGGCTCGACTACGAGGAGTACGAGCTCTGTGAAGAGGGTGAGGAGGGGGAGGAGGTAATACCGACTCCCGAAGAGGAGGACGAGGACGCGGTACCCTGCAAGACGGCCACCGAGCTCGCACTGCTGGTAAGTCAGGCTCTACAGCACCCTCAGGTGGCGAGCCGGAGCTATCCAGCACGCGCTCAGATGGTGAGTCAGAGTCGTCCAGTACGCTGAGATAGTGAGTCAAAGTCATCCGGGACGCTCAGACGGCGGTCAGGCTCACCTGGTACACTCTGATGCGATCAAGCTTAATCAATAAGTACTGATGATCAGTCAGAATTACTGGATCCGCTCTGGGTCCACACTGCGATTGGGCCAAAGATATTGTTGCCAAATATCTATAAAAATATGTACAGGTGTTACGATAAGACTCACGATGGTGCGATCGTTACCAGGCCTTATCTGCTCAATTGTTCGGAGGATACAAAGATACACGCGAGCATTCAAAGCTGGGAAGCAAGTGCGCAGCGAAGTGCTGGAGGAAACCATTGAATAGTCGTACTATGTTATAGTACAAATAACCCATGTGTAGTGAATTTTATAAACCCTGATAGCTCGCTCAATATTGGTGGCTCTATGCCGAGACATTCTTCGATGTTCACTCAGACTTCGTATTCTTTCTTTCTGACCGCCCAGTCAGCGGATCTTCCCCAATACTGGTTCTCTAGCCTCGGTCTCTGCTCTCAGCGACAGAAAAAGAACGCCGCCAGTCAAGTGCCCACCATGATGGAGTCGGTCAAGTCGATGCAGGACAAGTTGCTGTCGATCGCGCTGCCTGGAGAGGATCCGTTCACCCTGAAGACTCCGGATGGCTTGGAGATGACGCTAGTCATGTGAGCTCAGACGATCAAATGTAAATTTCAGCCTATCACTGACTCCAATTTAAATTGGGTTTGCGAACAATGCGCCATTGGTGAGAACTCGAGCCATAGACTGATCCGGCTGCGGATATAGACTTAAGCGGAAAAGGATGAAATAGAATCAGGGCAGGAGTTTCCTTGTTTTGCTCGTGAAGGAAACTAATGAGCTTTTCGTCTTCCCGCCCTGCATATTAGTCATCCTTTCGCCCTCATCTGCACTCAGACCAGTCTGTGATTCAAGCCTTCACTCTGGGGAGTAACGGTCAGCAGCCCAATGAATATCAGGAAATATTTCGACCAGACAAGTAGCTTTCCGATGGTTGAACTAGGTGATCTTTGCATATCTGGGCCAGGTTTGGAGGCGTGGGTGTGTGAACGCGGGTGGGACAAGCACAGCCGCTGCCTTCTACTTCCTGACCCGGTAAGACGTTTTGTGTGGCATAGTGTGAGCGAGGGGAAAATGCCGTGGATAATATTACCAACCGTCATTACGAGCGAGGCTGCAGGCCGAATGAATCTTGCGCGAGCTGTGAAAAAGTTCTCAACTGGAGCGGTTCGGCTCGGCCGTCAAGAGTACAAAAGCTGATAGCTTGCCATCCAGCGATCGCAGGTTCATGCAATTTTCAACAACAAAACGCAGAATTTTGTGAAAACAGTGCTGTTTCATTCTCTAAGAATTTCTATACAAGCCGTTTGAAAAAACGAGCTTTTCCTGCAACTTTGCAATATCATCCCGATTTTGCCTCCTCTATTTGGATTATTTTTGCGTGTCTATCAGTCATAATGTGCAGGACTACATCCCAGAGAAGTTGCCATGGTCTAATCTATCTCGATATCAGCCACATCGTCTTGCATTGAAAATGAGTCTCGGGGGAAAGGTAGCGCTGGCCGCCTTCTGGTCAATTACTGGCGCCTTGCGGACAAAATAAATTTGTGATCCGTTTTAGTTAGAGCTGAGGCATTTACCTACGTCGTCCACTCGGCCTTACGCCTTCATCACCTCCTGTGCCTGATGCGTGACATATCCCTTGAAAACGCATCGACACCGACGGATCCATGGCTTATGCGTTAAGCACCCCTGGTCGTCTATTCACACTAACCCACACTCTGGCTTTTATGTTAAGCCATTCTCTCCTCCCTCAGAATGCATAAGTCTCGTGTCCCTGAAACGCCCGGTAGTTGAAAGCTGGATCCAGTTTCGACTCACGATCTTCAGCCCTTTCGCAATTTAAAAACACAAGATTTTCCATGTCATTCGATTGACGGAGACAAATCGATGGCGACACTGCCATGTTGGAGAAAAACCCGCCGGATCAAGTTTCCGAAATATGCACACAGCCGTAGCAAATGGTTACTAATGTGTGAACTACCAGAATGGCTGCTGGCGGCGGGCCGGTCACTCAAGCTTAACATTTCTCATGGTTAAAGGAGGACTCACTCGGCCCTCTCCTACGCCTGGAGTTACAGCCGGCAAGCGCTGTGATGTTGCATGAAAGGAAATATTTTGAGACACTTCAGCCGCCAAGCAGACTCATTTATCAGTGTTTATTTTCCCTTTAAAAAATCCAAAAAGTGTCTGGCATTGATGGCAGCCTTGTTAGGCTTTCACGATGCATGCCATGCTGCAGGATGGAAGGCTGGCAGCTGGAAGGGTACCAACTGGACCTGGGCGAGGGCAGCTACCAGTTCCCGTCGCTATGCGCCGTGCTGCACGTCGAGCAGAACTGCAGCGAGGCCTACAACATGACCGTCGGGCTGCAGGCTATCAACTGGCCCACACTACTCTACGTCAGTTGGGTGGCCCGCACTGACCGATGTCGGCTTACCGCGCGGGTGGGGGGTCCAGCGACCGGCGGGTGGGCTCGGCCGCTGTCGGTTACGACGCTGAAGTCACGCCGGCGCGGGCAGGAGGTCCAGCAAGCGGCGGGTGGGCTCGGCCGCTGTCGGTTACGACGCTGAAGTCACGCCGGCGCGGGTAGAGGTCCAGCAAGCGGCGGGTGGGCACGGTCGCTGTCGGTTACGACGCTAAAGTCACGCCGGCGCGGGCAGGAGGTCCAGCAAGCGGCGGGTGGGCTCGGCCGCTGTCGGTTACGACGCTGAAGTCACGCCGGCGCGGGCAGGAGGTCCAGCAACCGGCGGGCGGGGACAGTCGTCGTCGGTTACGGCGCTGAGGTCATGCCAGTTGTTAGCGGGTGGAGTAGACCAAGTAAGATACACTATTTTCAGTGCAAAATAAATAAAACTTGCTGCAACAGGTCGGGGGGGGGGGGGTTACGGCTGTTGCCCGGGGGGAAAGAGGCAGCGGACGTTGCACCGGCTGACGCCCCCTGGCGACAAGTCGTGCTCAGCCGCGCGCGGTGTTTATTCCAGTCGTATGGCGAGGGGACAGACTCGGTCAGCAAGGACAGCAAGAACATGCAGCTGAAGCTGGTGCAGCGCGTCGGCACCACCGACCTGGAGCAGTTGCCCGTCTACGACCTGCCCAGCAACCAGCGCATCCAGATCCGTGTTCCGCGCGGCAAGAAGGGATCCAAGCCGGTCCTGCCTGGTGAGCACATCTCTGGCCGTCTCCCCCATTCGATCTTCTGTCCGCCTCTCCCTCCTTGGTGCTGTACGTTCCAGTTTCGCCATGCTGCCCTTCGATCTAGATTATCTCGCTACATATGTAGCCGATGTGGCAAATATGAAGGCATGCAATATGCCTTTTGGCTTCATTACTGTGCAAAAGTATTGCCACACCCGGTTCGTCTCCCATCTCTCGTAAATCCCACTTCCTGAGCTCTTGTAAACTCCACCTGTGGTTGTTCACAGACCCGACGTTCGTGGAGCCACTGCCCAACTCAAAGGAGATCATGATGTACCATTCGGTGAACATCACGCGCCAGGACGTCTCCATCAACATCGAGGTGTCGGTGTCCAGGCCTGACGCCCAGCTGGTGGTCTTCATGAAGCGCGGCATCAAGCCCAACCTCACCCACTACGACTGGGTCTGGAAGGTCCAGCTGCCCACCAACTTCACTGTGGACGGTGCGTTCTCTCTGGGAAGGCGCTGCAGGCCAGACTTCCAGGACCACGAAGAGTTTGTAACGCGTTATGAGCAACCTACGGAACAGAAGTGGGTCTGTGTGTCGTGCTTCCGTTCGGGTTTGTAGCCGAAACAAGACGCTGGTAATTGGTGGTGAATGTTCACAACAACGCAAACGTCCTCATGCAGAACTTTGTTTTTCCAGTTTCCCAAGAGCCCATGGAAGAACCAATACCAATCACAACAGCAGTTCCATTAACTACAATCCGAGGTTGGTACATTTGCACCGTATTTCTGTGAATGTTATGCCCCATGTTTAATAGCGCGGTACACGCTGAAAGGCTCACAACTTACAACTGCGGTAGCTGTTGTTTAGGGTAAGAAAGACAGTCAAGTTTCTGTTTAGCGCGTACCATGCCAAAATCTCCATCAGATCAGCTGGTACAATGAATGGGTGGGAAAACAAACAACGGCCATGGCATGGTTCTGTCCTTGTCTATTTTCCTGGCTACGTCCTCATGCGGTAGCGATGCTGTGCTAATATCATGCCACAGTATGCTGGCCAGCCTCACGGGCGCCCTCACACTTGTTACCTGCTGTTGTAGTGCCGGCCTGTGAGGAGCTGGAGGGAGTGAACAGCACGTACGGCACTAACGAAACCTGCATCCCGGGCGGCATCACCGAACGTACGTCACTCACCGAGCTGTAACACCAACATGAAAATGGAAACATGCTTAGATCTGATCATTGTTATGGTTTTGATGGCGAATCACAATATGTTTGCTGTTATTTTCTGTTCTTCTACTTGCTTTCTGCGTGTTCATCCTTCGTCAATGGTTTTGTGCCTTCGCGTCCATATTTATATGCCGCCGAATAAACTTCGACTGAGTTTAGCTCACAGTAGTGCAGCACCGCCCAGTGAGCTGAGCTGAGCTGAGCTGAGCGGAGCTGGGCTGACCTGAGCCGAGCTACAGCTGAGTGTTCTACCCGACGTGCCACTGCAGCTGCCGTGCTGTGCGAGGAGGACCTCATGACGTTCGGCTCGACCACGCCGGCTCCGTGGCCGCCCTCCTCAACCGTCACGGCGGGCCAGCTGAGCGCCAGCACCACCACCGAGTGGTACGACGGCAACGGCACCGGGGGGTACAACGGCACCACGCCCGCACGGCCCTGCACGCCGGTGGTGGTGACGGCACCACCCACCGAGGAAGGCATCCCGACAGCCGAGCCGGTCGTGCCCACCAAGTACATCTCCGAGTACGTCCGGCTCAAAGTCGGTAAGAAGCGCTGGAAACTGGTGACGGCGTTAAAGCGGTGTTCACTGACTGGGATTGCGGCGGTGCTGGACGGACATGCCTTCCCGCAATCCGTGTCATCTCCAGTCCATTTTCAATCACCAATGGAGCTAATGCGTTCCAACCAACTCGACTGTTACTTATGGCTTCATAAACAGCTAATACGATGCTGCATTTGCTCGGTCGTATGTTTGAGGTCATCGCAACAAGCCACGAGGCCGGCTTCCTCTGACCTGGCCTTTGACCGGCAGTGCCTAACCGCGCCCTGGAGCCATACGACCCTTACGGTAACGACACGCTGCTGTACTCGTACCCGCTGTACGACATTTTTGTGCCGGACTCGTACGTGCTCAACATGACCGGGGAGTACTGGATCGGGGTGGCCGAGTTCTCCAACACCACAGATGACGAGGTGAGCAGGGGCCGGGCTGGCCCCACGGTTGCTGTTGCCAGAGTGATCATCGGCAGGCCCGACCCACCAGTCAGCTGCCAGCTCTGAACAGCTGACTGGTGGATGCCTTAGATTAGTTTCGAACGACAATGTTCGCGTGCATGAGCGCAGCCTCACGAAAATCGATTGGGTAGCTTAAAAGGCTGGTTATTCCCCATAGACATGCGGGTATTGAGGCGTTTGCTATCTTTTGATAAGTGTTGGCGGGATATCAGTGTACCGGGACAAACACCCGGGAGAGGAGTAAGGGGTCATGTCCCACTGAAGAGACACAAGGATCCATCCATGCCCACGGTTGTGATCAGCGGACTGAATGTCTTCTGTCGGTACAGTTCTCACAGCTGCAGCGTTGCGCTCCCTCAGGTGTTCTTCGAAGACCCGTCGGCAACGAACCTGACGTGGGCCAACATGACCAACGTCTACTCCACCAACTACACGCTTCGTGTGTACACCTCTGGCTGTCTCTTCTACAATACCATCTCCGACGTGTGGGAGAGCGACGGCTGCACGGTGAGTTCTGCACTGTCTGTTGGCTTAACAAGCCTGCTGGGCTGCATCGACACGTAACACCGCTGCGGCCAGCGTTCCTTAGCCATGCAACCACCTATGTTCCGCTGCGCTGTACTTGCACCGTGTGGTTACACATGGAACAGGGAATATTTCTGTCCCGAGTTTCCCTCTGCGATCGCGTAGTTAATATGTGGCTTGAAATGAATCACCGACAGTATGTGCGATAACCACCCTTGCCCGCGGTAATCCCGAATCCACGTCAGCATACGTCACATGTGTCCGTCGCGGCTTTCCCAGGTCACAGACTCCAACTACCGAGCCACGATCTGTACCTGCAACCATCTGACCTCGTTCGGCTCCGGATTCTTCGTCATGCCGAACGCCATCGACTTTGAATATGTGTTTGCCAACGCAAGTACGTGCTGCCGAAGATCAGCAATGAATTTTTTTGGGGGGGGGAAATTCGGAGTAGGGTCGGAATTTGCCGCCCCCGAAACAAATGTCTCTCAGCAGAAATGATTTGTGGGTAGTCTCGTAAAGATCCATCGGAGTTATCTCGTCCAGGCGGGTTGGTGATTGTTCTGATCATCACGGGTGATATACTCGCTAATGAAAGCATCCAGATGTCATCACATGATATGGTCCGCAGTCGTGCGAGAGCGTAGGCAACGTGACCTTGAGGCGTTCACATTGCGGGCGGGAACACGCTGTGGAGGACAGAGGGCGTCAAATCTATCCGCTCTGCCGAACCCTCGGTCCTGTGTTCAGACGACCAGTTCTGCGTGTTGCTGTGATGCACGTTTGGTTGAATAATGCCAGGGTTGTTGAAGGGCACGGTAAGTTGAAACCTGCCGACGTTGGGTATCGACAGGCTTTACGGTATGTTAGTCTGACAGCGCATGTCATTCCCAGGCTTTGAAGACAACCTGTCAATATATCTGACGCTCATCATCTCGTTCTTTATCTACCTGGTGCTCATGTTCTGGGCGCGGTGGAAAGACAAGAAGGACCTGGAGAAGATCGGCGCCACACCACTTCCGGACAACAACCCCAATCACAAGGTCTGCCACTGCTCACATGCCCAGCGATTCCTACAGCTGACATCTCCCATATGTGCTTGATCTTGATGGCTAAAGACTATACTAGTAAACTTGTTTATGATTCGTGCTATAAGCTGACGGGCGTTTCGCTGCGCAGTAGATTTTTGTTCGTAGTGTCAGATTCATAGGTCGTTTAAGTTAACATGTTGAAATAGGTTATCACAGAACTCACCATCTATTATGTGCCATACGGGGTGCTAAGTCGCCAGAAATGTTGCGAAAAGTACGTGTTTCCTTTGGTAAAAGTACGTGTTTAGGTGTTTTCCGTACGCGCTGACGTTTCCTTTCACCCGCCCCGAGTCCGCGGCAACAAACCACACCGCCCCCCGCCTCCGCCAGTACCTGTACGAGATCCTGATCATCACCGGGAACAAGACGAACTCGGAGTGCGACAGCAAGGTGCAGTTCATCCTGTCGGGCGAGCGGGACGAGACAGACGTGCGCACCCTGGCCGACCCGCAGCGGCCCATCCTGCGCCGCTCCGGCACGGACAGCTTCGTCATGGCCGTGCCGCGGCCGCTCGGCCAGCTCAACTACCTGCGCATCTGGCACGACAACTCGGGCAAGGGCGGCGCCGCCTCCTGGTACCTCAACTTCCTCGTGGTGCGTGACGTGCAGACCGGCGAGAAGTCGCAGTTCATCGCCAACAAGTGGTTCGCCGTGGAGGAGGGCGATGGACAGGTGGGGTGCACGCACTTCGGACGGGGATTCTGTTGGATTGGTGTGTCAGGGCAGGCTTGGTTGCTAGGTTATTAAGTATGCGTTCCAGTGCTGACGGCTTTAAGAGCTGTCGTGTTTCTCGTGAATTATCGAAGCCAGACTTTAAAATCTGCTTGCGCTCCTCTCTGAAGCAAGATAGCCATGAGCTGATTGACCAGTGCAACTATCGAGATCAGCTAAACCACATGCTGCGTGGCGGTCTGACCAACTTCGGGATAAATCCATGTTGGCCTATCTCTAGCGACAGAAGAATCACAGCGTCTGCATCACGTCCTGTGTGCTGTCGTGCACTAGTGGAGACAGCTGATCCCGGGCATGGCATCGTTTCAGATTGACCGTCTGCTGCCGGTAGCCGGCCGAGAACAGATGCTTGAGTTCCAGCACCTCTTCAACACCACATCGCGCAAGAACCTGTCGGACGGCCACCTCTGGTTCTCAGTGTTCATGCGGCCACCGCGCAGCCGCTTCACGCGTGTGCAGCGCGTCTCCGCCTGCATGGCGCTGCTCTATCTCTCGATGCTGGTGAACGCCATGTGGTACGGCCTGGTGCCCGACCAGCCTGGGTCCAGCGCCATCGCTTTTGGCCCCTTCTCCTTCAGCCCCGAACAGATCGGCGTGGGTGTCATGGCCAACCTCATCGTCTTCCCGCCGTCCTTCCTGATCGTGCTGCTCTTCAGGAAGTCGCGGCCACGCCGCCTCAAGGAGAACAGGGTGGAGAAGGCCATGACCGAGCAGCGTGAGTGACCAAGCGCGCCACAGGCGAATGCCGAACTTCGTAGAATAGAGCAACGCTGACACGCTGCATGCGATATGATGAGTCTCGGCTCCGTTTGTGGTTTCCGTAGCAGAGTGGAACGGGCATTTGCTGCTGTTACTAAGGGGAAGTCAGCTTATAATGTGGTAAGTTCGGCTTGGCACCTGATGCCCTCGACAATCACCGCAATTTTCGACTCCCAGTATGAGTGTTGAGTTACCACCCAGCGCAGCTTCGGCTGAGTCGACTCATGATTGAGATTTCCACCATCCAGGTGCGAGGCAGCGGAAGGAAGGCAAGTTCCCGGAGGCGGACGAACAGTCCGCCGCGCCCAAAAGTGCACCGCCTCGGGCTGTCGACCTCGCGGACCGGGACGGTGACGACGAAAGCCTGGCGGAGTCTACCGCCCTCGAAAAACGTCCCGAGAGGAAGAAGCCGTTCTCCTTGCCCTGGTGAGGGCAGCCTGTGCCGCGAAACAGATGCCTGCTGTGGGGGTTCATGTTTCGTTTGACTGGAGCATGGTCACCATCCGGGCGAAGTGTGGGAAATACCGATCGTAACGTTGGTTACTGGGTTAGGGGACATTAGGCGATTCAAGGGTTAAGGGGATGAGGTTTGAGGTCGGCTGAAAAGAGAGAGAGAGAGAGAGAGAGAGAGAGAGAGAGAGAGAGAGAGAGAGGAGAGAGAGAGAGATAGAGAGAGAGAGAGAGAGAGAGAGAGATAGAAGAGAGAGATAGAGAGAGAGAGAGAGAGAGAGAGAGAGATAGAGAGAGAGAGAGAAGAGAGAGAGAAGAGAGAAGGAGAGAGAGAAGAGAGAGAAGTAGAGAGAGAGAGAGAGCAGAGAGAGAGAGAGAGAGCGAAGAGAGAGAGAGAGAGAGGAGAGAGAGAGAGAGATAGGATAGAGAAGAGAGGAGAAGAGAGAGAGAGAGAGGAGAGAGAGAGAGAGGAGAGAGAGAGAGAGAGAGATAGAGAGAGGGAAGAGAGAATAGAAGAGAGAGAGAGAGAGAGAAGAGGAGAGAGACGAGAGAGAGAGAGAAGAAGAGAGAGAGAGAGAGGAGAGAGAGAGATAGAGAGAGGAGAGAGAGAGAGAGGAGAGAGAGAGAGAGAGAGACGGCGGTTTTGTCTAGGCAAGACCCTGAGATTCCTCCCCAAAAATTAAGACGGCTGTCATGGGAAGCGCGCGATGTGTTTGACACCTTCCAAAACACCTTCCAAACACGCGCAAAATTGACGATGGATACAATCTTTTACAACGTTTTCGCGTTTGCAGCCGTTATTGACAACATTTTTGCTTTCAATTTTTAGGATGAGATGCATAAATCTCATGAAGGAATAGACGACGTAAAATTTATATTCCTAGGTGCGGTGAACGTTTCTAAAAACTGTCCTCCTCTTTTATGTGCTACTAAGGTCGTTGTTGTCAACTCTATTGACCATAGAGACTGACGTACACCGCGGAGAAGTGAAACAAGCTGATAAGACATACGAAATATCGTGCTGGTGTGCAATGGTTGTTGCCGGGGCCACTGAATCATTCATCTATGTCTGGTCCCGTCCAGGTGGTGCGTGTACTTCGGTTGGCTCCTGACCTTCGGCAGCATGGGCGCCTCCATTTTCTTCCTCTGGGCTTACGGCATTACCTTTGGCAACGAGAAGACCACCAAGTGGCTCACCTCCCTGATGATCTCCTTCTTCTCGTCTGTGCTCTTCACCCAGCCTATTAAGGTGTGTCCCGTGATTTCCGATAGATGATATAAAAACTCGCATGAGTACTCGGATGCTGTTTATCCGTACCGACAGGCGGCTGTCGTCTTTTTGCTTAATGTGAGTGGTGCATGCAGGTGAGGGGTTGTATGTCAAAACACCGTTCATGCATAGCATAGAGATCCGGTTTCGCGACATCAGCGCGGCACCACGTTGCCGTGTATCTGTAGGACACAGCAGATGAGGCCTTTTTTCACTGATCGTCGCGAAGGCTACCCCAGTGGTGTCTTCACGCGCGCGAGCACGCCACACTTGTGTGGGATCCACCCACGCGAACGCCACTGTTTGCCGGTGGGCGGTGATGTCGAGCACCCCTGACCGATGGCCGTGCCGTGGTGGTAGGTGATGCTGACGGCCTTGCTGGTGTCGGCGATCTGCAAGAAGCTGGACAACGGCCATGACGACATCGATGACGACGAGGAGGACCCGGCTCTGCTCAACGACGAGGAGTGGCTCTACGCGCCACGTGGGTTATGTGGGGGCTCTCCGCCGGCGGCGGCGGGTGGTCGCTGCCGTTGCTACTGCATGCTCGTGAACTTAACTTACTAACTGCGGCTGAAACTGCAGCTCTCAGTGGAAAGGAAACTTTGAAAAGGACACTGTCGCGCTTGGAGACTCCGGAAAGTCAATCCACCATTTTTGTACGTCGCTCGCGTTGCATTTCATTTCCTGTAACGTCTGCGTATTCTCTCCTGGCGTTACCAGCATGCCGCGCACTTCCCGGGCGTAACGGACTGGCTGCCGCTCGCAGGCAAGAAGAAGCAGCAGCGTAAGGTGGAGTACACACCGGTGGACCCGGCGAAGATCGAGGCGGCCAAGCGAGAGCGGCAGAAGGAGGTGAAGATGTGGGACATCATCCAGGAGATGGCCGCTTACGCCTTCTTCCTCTGGATCTTGCTGGTGCTCAGCTACGGCTCGCGCGACCCCAACGCCTTCCTCATCCGGGCGGCGCTCGAAAACAATTTCCTTCGGCCCAACGACCCGTGGCTGTCGTTCAGCGCGGTGAGTGCAGCGCCCGGCAGTGGTCGTTCGTACCTCTGGAGACCAGGTGGGGTGCCATTTTGACTCCTGTTTAGGCTGGAAGTGAGGACATGGGCAATCATAGCCTCGCCGCTAAGTTGATAGCCTTCGGAATATGGAATTCCCCAATGGAACTTGCGGTGTCATGAATCGTAGCATGCGCCATCAGCACGCATTGTGTGTGGTCACGGACCACTCAGTACGCGCTGCTCTATGATATTTGAGCGAGACCTGGGGAATGAGAGCGTTATTTCTCTCCAGCTCGCGGTGATTGTTGCTGCTACGCATATTTCAAAGTGACTAAAGCACAAACTTCCATATCTTATGTTCTTAGTCGCAAAAGCATCCTCCCAAGAACATGGTGTTACGCGTCTCCCGGAATAAAGAAATCGGCTGTAATGCACCCTCGCACGCAGTCAACCTAAAAAGACTTGTGTCACCTTAAAGGTTTGGCCACCACAACATTGCTGACGGCGGATAGAGTAAACATATATTACAAGTACACGTTGTGTATTCAAGGTGCGGAACGAAACTCGCTTCTGGAACTGGACGAGGTCGGTGATGATTCCCGAGCTTAAGATCGGACCCGGCTACGCCGGGGAGAAGCCCAAGAGAAAGGAGAAGAACCTGATCACAGACCGAGTCCATCTGCTGATGGGCAACGGCGTGATGCGACAAGTTCGCATTCGTGAGAAGAGTAAGTACAGTGGTGTGACGCTATGGTGCACATGTTTTTGGTGAGTGCAAATAGATTCCGATCTGCAAATGATTGCGTTCCTGCTGCTTAGGAAATGTGCGTGACTTATGTTTTGTGGACACCGAATCATGTTGCTACTGGTTATCTGAAAACAGCGTTTGTGGCTGCAGCCGAAATATCCAGGCCCTGCTTACTAACGGAGAGTTTCCAGGCCCTGCTTACTAACGGAGGGTTTCCAGCCTCACACTTCCGAACTTGGGAACTGTAAGAATAGGAGTATCGAGCGCGGAAAGTGGCCGTGGCTGAACACAAATTCTTGGACATATAAATCGTATTACCGGAGATCTATTTGCCGCAGTCAGCTCTGCTCAAACGCGTCAAGATTTGCCAAGTTTGGGGTTAATGGCAGCATTGCACTCACTCGTGGCCCCATTGATCGAAAATTTGGCACAGTCAGCCACAAATGATGCAGTAGATGACATTCCCAACACATGGCGTGGGGCAAATCCATATTGCCTCAGGCCACATAAGCTTTTCAAGATGTATTGTTGGTCATGGCAGAATATCGGGAGATTCATTAGGGGATGAATGCTATTGTAGTGGTGGTCGGAAACCAAATAGCACCCCGGTTTACGTAGCGATAACTCAGGCTTTGAGTTTTAAACAATACCTGTTCTGGCCAGCGATTGATGACTTCCCAACCGCATGACTCCTCTTCTGTTCACACGTCATGCAGCGGCGTGCAGAGTTCTACGCGCCTGACGTTACTGCGGCCCATCGCTCTGGCTCACAACACACTACGGTTCACTGTCGCCACGCCGCCTGATTCGCTATTGTCCGGCGGCGTATGCACCGGAGCAGTTTGTCACAGAGGCATCTGCATGTTCATTAGCTGCACTTGGCGGGTCATCTTTCAGTTTTCAGTTTGTTCTTTGCCTTGTAGCCTTTCTCTGCACCTCCGCCACGTGGATGGGTCGGCGGCCTGGGATCAGCAGCCCAACTCGCTGTTGCTTGGACCTCCTCTGCCTGACATTTCGGCTCAGAAGGGTCCACGCAGGCTCCACGGTCCTCAGCCGACTACGTATCCCGGTCAGAGATTGGTCTGTCACTCTTCCTCCCATCTGCGGCAGTCAGAGAGCTAAGCTGAGGTCACTATGGAGCCAACGACGACTGTCATGCTGCGAATTGGAATTGGAAGAGTCCGAGTTGCTAGTAAAAAAGTGGAGTCAAGTGGAAAAGGGTGCTCTCTACAATCACGTTTCTCTATTCAGAAAACATGCTCTCCAATGCGTTATTGTTTCATGGCGTCAGGGAACGTTCGCATGATTTTGAAACGCTGCCAAACTAGCCGCGCGAAATAACCGCCCAAGACTTACGTGTAGTACTTTAACTCACCGAGATATGACAGTGGCGGTGCTGAGAGTGTTTGGATTCAAATATTGTTGGCTGCTCGTGTTTTGGCCCTTTTCGTGATGCTCTTATATATCTATCCGTGATTTTAAGATACACACATGCATTTACATGCTCGGTTATAGCACCATTTTTAAGATTTTCGATTACAGGTCTGATTTTTGTAATCCGATGTAATGCCTAGGAATCATTTTCAACTTTTCATACTACGCAGCAAAAACGAGATTTCTGATTGAAACTAGCAAAACCTGCTCAATATTGATTGAGAGTCCATCGATCTCCACTATTTTTGCAAATCGGGCTCACGGCCACCAGATCTGAATGGCTTGGAGATAATATTCTTCCTGGTCTTGAACACCGCATGGCCTATGGGGTGGCATGATTTGAATGACGTTGTTATGGCGTCATGCATGCCTGAATGGCCTTGAAATAGTTTGCACATCTTTGCCAAAGTGTAGCTCAGAAACTAGCGGGTTTTCGGTATTAACGACAGAGCTGTGAGCTGCACTGAATGGTTTTCAAGAGGGCGATATTAGTTCAAAGCCCAATACATATGTGGAACACCCCTTCTATGCAGCACCCAGGCAGCCCTATCGTATACCCGTAGGGCAAGCAGTGCCGTCCACACTCGGTCGAGAAGCGGCTCTCGCCCGCCCGCCACAGCCAAGCACGCCTGGCTGCTGCGCGGAAGAGATGGCGCATGCGCAAGTGTGGTAGAAATTTTCTGCACGAGCCACACATTTTTAATTTGCTTCACATTTCTCCATCCGACCTGCTTATGCACCAGTGATACTAGGCAAAAGCCCTTACCCTCGGTTGCGCTTCGCTATAGGTAACTTCACAAAAAGTTAACAGCCATGTGGTCCGTAATTGAGCTGAGATGCGAAACAAGCAGCAAACGAATTCTTTGTTATAAATGGGAGCCAACTGTATTTGGCTTATGTGTGGAGCCTATTTTGAAAACTTAACCATGATTTGCAATCACAACTGAATATATCTCCTCACTCCCTGCGTTGCTTCCATTACGCTCCATACGAACCCTCTCGCTCCATACATAACGTAATTTATGGACAGCCCCACATCTGTTTTTCCTCACTGGCGTTTTCACCAACATCCATTTAAAACATATAACTTATGTTTCTTTATGTTTGGAGACCAAGTCTTGACGACAGTTATCTCAAAAAATGTGTATAGATGGCAAAATGAAATGGGTATTGCCGAGTATGTGTGAGGCTGGTCTCGTTGACCTGACGTAACCTTGACGGAGAGTGACCTTGATAACCTAGCGTGGCAAAGACATTGACATTCGTGTCCTCACATATAACTCAACATCAAGACATCAACAGCACGAACGTATCTTGGAATACACCCGGCGTATCTCACCGCTAGTCCTCACGCACCGTGTTATGCTGCAATGGGTGGCACACTACACACCAGGCATTCCATCTCTTCCTCTCCTCTTCCATTTGGCAATTCAGATCAACTTTGGTTATGTTACCCACATAACTGACCAAAGTTCAGTGCTCTACCCTTCGACTGAATACGTTTCTGTAGAAGCAGGAAGTGCGTAATGGGACGGCGGAAAATTGTTGTTAAATGTGCTGAAAGCTGTGGCACGCTCTCCTGACTCAATCTATGTCTTTCCGTTGCTTCCCTTTTCACCTTTACTTTGCACTTTGTACTAAGTATGCAGAGTTTTGACCACAACGCATAGGACAGAGGCACGACGCGGTACCTTGGCGTCGCAACGTCTTATTCCATTGCGTTATGGCCGGAGACAAAGCGCAAAGATTACAGTGACCTTTTGGGTGTTCTGGATTTTTTGGGGCGGAATGCTGTTGCTTGGAAGTAGATTACATGTCACCCGGAAATGGGAATGTTTGTGGGAACAAAACTGAGAACCGGCGTCATTCCCAACATTAAATGAGAACCATGAAATCGATTATTTTTGTCTGTCCTGCCTCATTCAATACGAAACTTGACCATTTCATTGCAGTGGTTTGACCTTCGCGACCGTTCCGGAAGACAAACGGAAATATGTCCTCCATCTCATCAGCATCATAAATATTTTTGTTATAGTCATGTTCAGTCGTGAAATAAGCGATATGAGATAACTATTGAATTGAAGTGGATGATGCGCAGCGGCATTTGTGCGCGTGTCATACGTGTTATTACGCGCCTGCTAAGTGTATTTCATTTTCAGACACGTGCCGCGTGCCGAAGGTGATGCGCAACATCACGCGGGAGTGCCACAAGTTCGGGTCGCTGTTGTACGAGGAGAAGCGTGACTTCGGCCTGGGCTGGGACGAGACTCTGGCCACCCGGCGACCGTTCAACCTCAAGGAGTACCGCTACCGCTCCAGCTCCAGCCTGGACTCGTACCCGTTCTGGGGCGACTTGGGCTGGTACGGCGGTGGTGGGTGAGTACGCACCCTTCCCAGTTCGACCGCAGTCCTCTCGCGCCCGGTATACCGCCCGACACCGGTGAACTGGCGTAATGTTGGTGACCCGAGCCTCGCAGGGGCGTCAGTTGCTCAGATGGGCAGGCGTCAACATCCCTTCATGTTGGCGTTGGCGTGTGGATAATCAAGTCCGACCTTGACGCCTCTTTTTGCCTCTCTCTCTCTCTCTCTCTCTCTCTCTCTCTCTCTCTCTCTCTCTCTCTCTCTCTCTCTCTCTCTCTCTCTCTCTCTCTCTCTCTCTCTCTCTCTCTCTCTCTCTCTCTCTCTCTGTCCGTCTCTCTCTTTCCCTCTCTTTCTTTCTCGTCTCTCTCTCTCTCCTTTCTCGTCCTCTTTCTCTTTCCTTTCCTCCTGGAGTTTATCCCTTACTTATCCACCACCCGCTTCTCGTCTGTGACGACGCCGCGCCTCGCGCCACGTCGCCACAGCCGCCCGACCGTCGCCGGCGCGCGGTGACGCGACCGACGCTTCTGCCGCCTGCAGGTACGTCGTGGACCTGAAGGGCAGCAGAGCGCGGCTGATCAGCGAAATGTGGCGGCTTCAGTCCAACGGCTGGATAGACAAGCGCACCCGGGCCGTCTTCGTCGAGTTCTCGCTGTTCAACGCTCAGGTCAACCTGTTCGTCGGCTGCACAATCGTGGCTGAGCTCAGTCCAGACGGTGAGCATCGGCCGCCGACATCCCCTGTCGTGGCGTCGGACGCTGTGAGGGTCCTGTTTCTCCGCACAAGTGACGGGCCCTGTGTGTTGCAGTGAAGGGCTTGTCGCGCTGACAGCAACTGTGGTTCATGACTTACGTTTCAAAAGCACATTTGCCACGTTTGCATAGCATGTTGGAAGGGTTGTCTGGCACGAAACTTCGGCAAAATAAGCTTGCGCACTCATCATCGTTAGCGCCTCTGAAATGAGGTGATAGTTCCTAAACCGCCTAAACAGCAAATATTCGACTTAACGACGACGTTTCTAAATGCGTTAGATTAGCAATATCTTCCTGACGACACATCAACTCACTAGCAACATTTTCGATCCAATAAATGCATCACAATGGCACAGACTGCGACTCGCGCGAGTGCCGTGAGGTCCAATGCTAAGAAACGCCGCGTGCCGCTCCATTTCTCGGCCTCCAAAATAACCAATCAGCATTCAGTTAGTATCCATGTTACATCCGTCAACCAAGCAGCGTCAAGTGAAAATATCTATAGATTATAGAAGCCCTCAACATGGTGGCGAGGCCGTTTTTCTGAATGCGGCCGCGCTGCCGTATGAAATATAATAGCCTGGCACGAATTCTGGCCCAACGGTCATGTCTTCATACCCACAGACATCCATGCAAGTTGTTCTAAATTTTTCCAAACGTACTCAGCAATAACTGACGCCGTATGTTTTTGGCATCATACCTGCGCCAAATGATGATTGTGTTGATGACATTTCGCCATAGTTTTGATGCATTTTCAAGTTTCACCGGATGCCTTCCCCAATATGGCGACCGCTTATTACCTTAAGTAGACAGTGCTGTTTGAGCTTGCCACAACACGTATGTTTCCCTTGTGTCGTGTAAAAACTAGTTGATAGTGATGTTGGACAGCATGCAGCGTGGTGAGCGAAGGGTCGGCACGAACAGGTCGGTGTATGTACGCACGTTAACCGTCCAACGGTCCTCCGGTAAGCGGTATGTGCGCACGTTAACCGTCCAACGGTCCTCCGGTAGGCGGTATCGTGCCGTTCTTCAAGTTCGAGCCGGTTCGCCTGCTCAACTACCACTCTGGCTTCGGTCTGTTCGTGCTCATCTGCGATGTGAGTGTTCCGACGGGTGGTGTCAGCTCACCAGTCTGGGCACCGAGCTGCGCAGCTATCTGCGGCGGGCACAGCAGTGCAGGCCTGTGTGGCGTCCATCGTCCAGTCTCTCTTGGCTTAGGCCGCAGCGCCTTGTACTCGAGATCGGTTTAGGCCGCGGCGCCCCATACTTGTAATCGGTCTCGGAATGACGCCATTGACTGCTTTCCGGCCGATCACTGACGCTTCCCTGGGTCGGATTAGTTTTGGCATGCCAGAGAGCTGTGGCCGGTGATTCCGCACACAGAGTGTACTTATTTTAACGTCGCTATGTGGCCTGGTCGCTGAGATCTGGCACGAGACCTTTCAAAACGCCTCAGACCGAGTCGATCCATTGCTTGCGCAAGAGACGCATGATCGTCCGCACACATCGGCCACAGTTTTGCCAAGAGGAGCGCGTGATCGCCCGCACACATCGGCCACAGTTTTGCCAAGAGAGCGCGTGATCGTCCGCACACATCGGCCACAGTTTTGCCAAGATAGCACGTGATCGTCCGTACACATCGGCCACAGTTTTGCCAAGAGAGCGCGTGATCGCTCGCACACAATCGGCCACAGTTTTGCCAAGAGAGCGCATGATCGTCCGCACACATCGGCCACAGTTTTTGCCAAGAGAGCGCATGATCGTCCGCACACATCGGCCGCAGTTTTGCCAAGAGAGCGCGAGGTATCGCTCGCACACATTCGGCCACAGTTTTGCCCAAGAGAGCGCGTGATCGTCCGCACACATCGGGCCACAGTTTTGCCAAGAGAGCGCGTGATCGTCCGCACACATCGACCCGGCAGTTTTGCCAAGAGAGCGCGTTGATTGCTCGCACACATCGGCCACAGTTTGCCAAGAGAGCGCATGATCGTCCGCACACATCGGCCACAGTTTTGCCAAGAGAGCGCATGATCGTCCGCACACACCGACCGCCAGTTTTTGCCAAGAGAGCGCGTTGATCGTCCGCACACATCGGCCACAGTTTGTGCCAAGAGAGCGCATGATCGTCCGCACACATCGGCCACAGTTTTGCCAAGAGAGCGCCGTGATCGTCCGCACACATCGACCGCAGTTTTGCCAAGATAGCGCGTGATCATCCGCACACATCGGCCACAGTTTTGCCAGGAGAGCGCGTGATCGCTCGCACACATCGGCCACGGTTTTTGCCAGGAGAGCGCGTGATCGTCCGCACACATTGGCCACAGTTTTGCCAAGAAAATCGTCTTTTTCTTTATCAGAATCTATTGATCTCGTCTCGCTGCGATCCTTGGCCATTGCGATCAGGGCCCGGCTTAATTCCGTCTTCCTTAGGCTTTTGGCGTTTAAAAAGTGCTACGTGTGTTCGTGATTAACAAGTGCAGGAAGAAAACTGTAGTAACGTTACCGGAAACTGCACAAGCTTGCTGCTAGTGCTTGCAAAAGCCTCTTTAGACATTCTGACGGCCGGCTGGGTCTCTGAAGTTGGAAGTTTTGCTTTACGTCATGCAAGACTCAATCGTCCTTTGACCTAACTGATAACCGCCTTTAAATCTTATACACCTCGGGTCAAACACCCCATGCCGATGTTGTGCACGATCTCAAATTGGTTTTCGCGTGAAGTGCTCAACGTATGACATCTGTCATACCCATATGGCTGACAGTAATCAGGCCTTACATTACGGTGCGAGCAGAACTTACCAACTCACCAGCCTTACATTACGGTGCGAGCCTTAACTCCTACTGCATGCTGATGCTTGGCGTCATGATTCAAACGCTTGGGTGTTTAGTGAAACTCCAGATCAATTTGTTTCCGAATTAGGCTGTACTGACCGGAAAAACATACGGGTGTAAACATGCTCATTTTCATGTTCAGAGTGATCAAAATATACCCACTCGCATCATCGATCAAGTTGTGTTCACGTCTGTTTACTTATCATTTCATGTAATGATATGTTTTTTTTTTCATCTCAGGTGACCTTCGTGGGCTTTATAATATACTATACAGTGCGTGAAGTCAAGAGGGCCCGCAAGCAGAAGAAGCAGTACATGAGCGATCCTTGGAACTACCTGGAGCTGGGGGTCATCGTTCTGGGCTACACAGCTATTGTATTCTACCTGTACAGGTATGCATATATGTATATGCAGCCAGAGGGTCAAGCCCAAGCGCTATGCACTGTAGCAGGGCTCATTGCATAACACCCTAGTCACACGTAGACACGTGTGTCAGCGTACGCACCAGTCTTTAATAACGACTCGATGTCTTTCACAGCGCCTTCAAATGCTCGCAGTCGTTTGGCCGAACACTTCTAAGAGTGTTGCCGGTTCAGAGCCGCCCGCGGAGTGGGATGTCGTGGGCGTCAGTAGTCTTAACCATCTGCAGAAGAATATTTACATCGCCATTGTTATCCTTCACAGAATGTTTCTGGCGAGCAAAATCGTCGATACCTACAGAAACACGAGGAAGAGGCTACATCAAGCTACAATATGTTACCTACCTTGACGAGGTAGGTGTTAATAAATCTACGAAAGTCCGTGACAAGTGTCTTTAAACCGAGAGGTTAAAGCTGTAGGCGATGCCTCGTGCTCTGGTGAAAGCGCCACAGGAAGCCGCGCTGTATAACAGTCGCTGGAGCGCCATCGCCCGGTCCCATGCTGTAGAGCACCATCCCGGTCCGGCTAGATGTAGTTTAAGCGTGAAGCAATGTAAACAGACCGTTGTCTTCCGTGTATCACTTTAATCAGCTTCCATTTATGCCTCTATGTTGCGTGCGAGATCATTTCTAGACAGTAGCAATACCTCACATCTAGTCATGAAAGCAACACCTCGTCATGGAAGCGTAGTGCAGAATACTAGTGTATATGCGGTAGTCAAGCGTGCGCGCGTTCAGGTATTCGGCTACATGATTGGCTTCCTGGTCTTCTTTGGGACACTCAAGTTCATCAAGCTCCTGAGGTTCAACAAGCGAATGGGATTCCTGACGTCCACTCTGAAGCATGCGCTGGAGACCTGTGGGGATTCATTGTGATTCCTCGTGGTAAGCATGCAGCAGTGCAATGATTCGCCGTGCTCTATCAATCCTTCAATAACTCTTATTATCTACCTGTAACGTTATTGAAAGCGACAGAAAGCAGTAGTCACCTTTGAGAACATGCTGAACAGCCCTACCAGACAGCTGAGCTGGACTGACGCCACGGAAACGCTGTAGAGGACAAGCTGTTTTCCTGGCCCGCAGCCTGTCAGGCCATTAGTAGTGAGTGGCTGAGGATCAGTGACAAGCAAAGTGCTTGGATTGGTAAAACGATTATATAGCGCAATGCTAAGTACTATAGTCGCAGACAGTCCAAGGAGCACCATTGATTTGGCCGCAGCAGATGTATGCCATTATGTTGTTTGTGTCTTGGGCGCGAAGCCTCGTTGACACTCTCAACAATCGTTTCTTGCTGTCCCCAGATATTCTGTTCCTTCAGCTTCACCTTCTTCCTGCTGTTTGGCTACGCCATAGAAGACTTCTCAAACTTCGTCATCAGTATCGAGTCCTCCTTCGCATGATGCTAGGGTAACGAGTTTGAGGGTGGAAATGTTGTGTTTCTCACTGTGCCGTGTGAAAGTCGCAGTTGAGGTTTTTGACGTGGATTGGAACAATGGCAAAATGCTAACATGTGAAAAACAGACGTCTTTCACCGTTATCTTGCATTTCAGGTCGTTTCCACTTCAGAGAGATACAGCATGCAAACGCTATTCTTGGACCGATCATGTTCTTCATATTTACCATTTCTATGACCTGCGTCTTCATCAACATCTTCCTGACCATCATCATCAGGAGCTTCCAGGCGGTGAGCTACGCAGTGGAGGACTTGTGAGATTTCAGCATTCGCCTTCGGTGCTATTCTGGACGATGAATAGAATATTTAATTGCATGCCTTGTCATCACTCATGTTGTCTACAACAGCATTTGTTATTTCGCGATATTTCCTCTTCCCCTCCTGCCAATGACACCATGCACCGGCGTTCGGTTCTTCAGGTCAAATTGGACCTGATGAAGCAGAGCATGAGTACGAGGTGATCGACTTTTTGGTGAACCGCCTGAAGATGCTCACCGGCATTGGCCAGCCCAAGCTGAACTCGGTCGGGCCTCTGGCTCCCACGGACGAAGACGAGCGGGTAGGCGACACCGCTTGGGTCTTCTCTGCGTCAAGAGCGCTTGCTGATGCTGAGGACGTGTGCAACCGGTTTGGCTGCGACTTATGAATCACAGAATCTCGTGACGACGCAGGGTGATAACATTTGAGAATAACGATCGGCGACGTTTACAAACCTGGCGGCGTTTTTTTAACGTTTAGAGCAAAGAACCATCATACTCCAAGTCCCACACGCTGAGTGATCGATTATGAACGTTTTGAATTTCCAGAAACAAGATCCGTCACAGCAGTTCCCAGAGAAAGTTGATCAACTACTCAACTACGTCAACGACTTCTATTTCGCTGGGAAGATGGACTTGGACAATAAGTCGTGGCTGAAAAAAGACAATTGCGGTGAGGACAATTCGGTGGTATCGTCATGTTGTGCTGCCCATCTGATGCCGAACTGAATAACGACTATGACTTTGCTGGGGGCGTGCTCGAACTCGAGTTGCTTTTCTTCGCTTCGCATTGCGGGCGTCCCAATACACACCAAAGTCATGTCCATGCCGACTTATATCCCAGTAACCCGATGTTTCCATGTCAAAACTGCTGTCCCACACGTTATCCTTGAGTCTCATCCAGCTCGCACTGATGGCATCACTCGGGCTGTCCCTGCGGCGTTCTGCGCTGACCTCCCCCCCCCCCCCCCATTCGGCAGTCGGACAAGAACAGCAAGGAGCGGCTTGCGGAGGGGTCCGCTGGGGCTGCGACAGCTCCGGCCGGCGCTGCGCAAGGAATTACGTCCCGCCCGAGGAGCTGACCGAGGAGCAGGAGCAGATCGCGGACATCTAGAATACCCGAAGGACCGACCAAGGCACTAAGCTGGATGCGAGTGTGAAGCGGTGGACGGAGTGCCTGTACGCGTGCGCCTGTGCGCCGGGCCAGTGCGTATGCCGTATCAGGCCACCAAAAAGCGTAGCCCTGAATGTAGACTTTGTGACGTCAAGCTAGAGTTCAGTTGTATCATAACACCGTGACGGCACTGTGGGCGGTGACTTCTTGATTCGACTCCGGTGGTCTGTACGCTCGATTTGCTTTTGGAGACATCTTTTCCCTCTTTTATACCTTTTGGAAGCATCAGGCAAATGATCATGATTTGGTCCTGCAGTTGGAACCTAATGCAGAGGTTATTGTTATCAAAACGAAATGTCATCGCTTATGTACCTTTTTGCATGGTTTGCCGGAATTGCAAAGCTATGTTGGTTAAGGAAGCATATGCTGCGAGGAAATGCACAATTTTTTTCTTCGGCTGGAAGTGACCGTTTTAGATTCCTTTGGCTAATTATTCACCAACGAATGAATTTAAGTGGACTGTGGAAATAGTGCCACGAACGGCATGACGGTTAATTTTTGTACCGTTCATGATAGCCAACTTGTGAAGAGCAAAGTGGTTCGAGTGTGAAATCAATCTACGATTTTGACGGCTTTCGCTACAAGGTGTGGTTCTGCTGCGTCTGACTTGTGGCTCCGACAATTTTACTTAGTGAGGTACTTTAGGGAGGTCATCGTGAACACGGCCAATGAATACCTCCGTCCTTTCATTTGCGCTTGGGTCATCAGGTTATCACTGAAAGCAAATTTTCAGTAGTGGGTGCACATACATTATAGTCCTCAGAACGGCCGATTGTGTTATTTTGTATTGAGATTCTAGTCGGAAGTTTGTTGGAAGCAAATTCGTTGAAGAGCACAGTTCACCACCGCATATCATATGCCGTCTATGGCGAACCACCTTCTCTATGCTAAGATATCCTGCAGTTCTAAGGTATAATTTTGCTGAAAAATAGAACGCATCGCGAGTAACTGAAGATTTAACCTATGAAACAGCAGTTGATGGGGTAATATTGCACGGATTTTGGGGCTCTGTTTCCTCTGCCGCAGTCACGTGTTTGGTGAGTGTAACATGTAATGGCCTCTAACGGAAACATCTTTTGAGAATTGTATGCGATGCATTGGCCACTATAATCCGTAATGACAAATATCAATTTGATTTCGTACCCTGCCTGAAAACACAAACCCCTTTCCAACGAAGGTGGCTTCAATGTGTATGCGCGTGTTCTAGGCTCCGAACGGTCTGTTAAACAGCTGCGTTTATCGCCCTCTGATGCGCACACATGGCAAATGGGTGAAAACTTTTCGGAGACAGCTACTTAGGTCGTGTGATTATCAGAATGCCATTTCTCTTTATTGTTGGAAATATATGCACTCACAAAATAAAGCATCGCACAAGCATGACATGGTTTGCCATGGGCTATGACGGTTTACATTCAGTAAGGACATACGACTGGATATTTTAAGGCTGCTTAAGTGAGCCTTACGTGAGCAGTAGCCTTGCCAGCGCATCCACACACACAACCGCACCTGCGCAAGTTGGCTCGCTCCTTCTTCGACGGAGGGTCATAGCCGCCGACCTGCCTGCCGAGGGGAGTGAAAAACCGATTTTTTTCCGTGTCTGCCATTAACCCGCTAACCATGTCTTGCATCCTAAGGTGCGCCACCAGCGCATTGTGACCGTGCAGGACAGCTGCGCATTAACGCCCGCATCAGCACGTTGGCAACAAACCTGATGATCGTTGACGCATGCAAAGGGTCCTAAAGAAAGTGGCCCACCTTTGGGGCATATTTCAAAAACATTTTATGGTCAAACCTCAGATCATTTACGTCTAAAAACAAGGCTCAGTAGTGCTACTGCAGTACCATCAAGATGTTATAAGGATATAAATTGTAATCATTTTTTTAATTCAAGGTACGCTCTCGACACTTGGAAACAGCATTACACTTCCCCGTTTCTTGGTAACCCTCGAATGCATTCCAAATCCGCGACAAACAGCAGCTGTCGCGACCACCTTTGTCATGACGACGGCAAGATCTGCTTGGTGCAGTTGTCAGATGCTACAGCCTAGACGTACTACTTTTCAGTTGTTTTAACCGGTACATTGTGGGCCTGTGGGCTTAAAAGTGGCACATCTACTGGTACAGATGATGCCAGTACAAATGAGCGGTCGTTATTGACACATCCCAAGCTGCTTTTACTGGTAGCAGTTGCATGCCCATGCATGGCCACCATCCATCGAAGTGCACAACGATAGTCATGCGCCTATCTTCCCAGCAATTGCTGCCTAGTCAGATAAATAGACAGAAAGCGTCAGCAGGGGACGTGTCTTCAGCTGTTCCGATCCGCGCCTCTGGTCTAGAGCACTCATCGGCTCTGTACCACCCCACCTCACGCCCAGGCGGCGACCGCCCCATCACGCGTGGCATGCTGCTCGAATTTGTATCACGGCGGCCGCCATTACCTGTCTGTGGAAGTGTCGCGCCGGGCCACCATGAGATCCGACGTACCCCATGGGGTCCACACGGCAGCGAGGGACCCCAGGGGTCGCTGAGTGCATGAGGTGCGCGACTCTTGTCACGCATCATCAAAGTCATGATTTCTTTACACTTATTTTTGTCATCTTCTACCTGAACGTCAACTAATATAAGCCCAAATAATTGAGACATGTGTGTTGTGTAACTTCCATTTTTTGCTAGAATTGTGTGTGCATGTGTGTGCTTTGTTAGCATCTTTCCCACTGCATTCCAACTCAACAATACAATTCCTATCCTGCATGGCAACTGAGACGCTGCCTAGAGGTCATGCGACGGGTTTGTAGACCGGGCAAAACGCGCGCGCATACAGGCCCTGCCGGTAGAGAAGCTCAAAGCCCTTTGGAGCAATACATTATGTCAAAAGGGCTGAGAGAATATCGAAAACAATATTGATAATGACAAAAACGTCTGCGTTGGAGAAAAACAAATGCCTCTTTGAGATTACGTCTGAAGTGTAAGTGCCCGTGCAAAAAGCATATCCAAAACAAGACAATTAAGGGGCAAGGCGTCTGGGCAGAAGTGAAATAGCTGGCCCTTTTGGAACACCATCTTACGTGAAAAGCGCGAATCCAGTCGAAAGCAAGGTCGTAAGGTAACGAAACTCCCGGAGAACACCGACGAGCGGCCCATCAAGCAGAGCGTCGTCCCAGACCGCTCACGCTTCACGCCGCACGGGAGGGGGGGGGGGGGACCCGCCCGGGGACGGCCAGGAAGGGCCAGGCAGAGCGCTTGGAGCCCGAGCTTGAGCCAATCAGGGCGGAGCAAACGGCCGCGAGAGCAAAACTCAGGGCCAAGCGTCGCCTCAGGGCACCCCGAAAGGTTTGTCTTCCAAGGCACTGTACCTATCCCAGATTAAGAAAAAACGCATGCAAGACGAAACTGCAGGTGAGCACAAATGGGAGCGCACGTAGTCCATGGTCGAAACCTGCGCGGTGAAGCTTGGGGGAGTAGGCGCGCGAACCTAAAGGACTGTTGGAAACAACGAGGAAATGGGAGGGAATGCAAGCGAAGCATCAGATATTTTTCGGGCACGCTTCAATATTTGAGGAAACAGCATTTGTATCTTCGGAAAACAAAAGAACGTATGCAGAATGAATAATAGCAATGTATGGCAAGAACACGTTACCTATTTTTATATTGATAATTATACCAGGTATAATCACATTTAACCACGTGATTGATATCATATACAATAAGTTTACCACACACTGATATTTTATTTAACATATTGGGCCAATGTAGGTGAAGTGCGGCGCCTTGGCCAGAACCATATGGCCTAAGCAAAGGCATAGAAAAATATCACTGACGCACTCAAGAGGCAAAGACGCAAGGTGCACCTGCGATATTTCCCTTTCCTTCCCTTACGTGGCTACTCCCATCAGGTCAGTTGGTTTAGAGCGCCTACACTTACATTCACCCACCTGCTATTGCCGGCTCGCCATAATTGAGTGATGCAAGTTCAGTGGGGGCAAACAGATACAATGTTGCAATGCCAGCCCATGGCTCTAGGTAAGTATAATCAAATGCACACAGTCGCACACCTGACGCGCGATTATAAATATTTTCTCCGGACGTCCGCATGTTGGCCATCATGATATCAACGGCCGGCTGCATTAACTAATGCGCTGTCTGGGTGTCATATGAACAAAAGAGGTCATGTCGGCCAGCGACTGATCTAAATTGCCGGGTGATAGTCACACCACGTGATGTGTGCTCACCCTCGCAGCTGGCGCGCACGTGTTGTGAATCGACTGTCCGTATCTTTACAAATGGCCGCCGATGGCGACACGCAAGCACTGGACGATGTGCAGTCAGGTTAACCATGTCAAATGGGTTCCTTCTGCCGACAAACACGTTTCATTGCCAGCTCATATCCCTACGCAGTACGATCAACCGCAGGCTGCCGCACTCTTCACACGCAATTGTAAGCATGTTGCTGGGTGTTGTTGCTAACAAACAATGCAACAAAACTAATATCTGTAGAATTCCAGACGACCAAGAACAGTTCTAAGCAAAAGTGAGGGGCCTATAAGAAGTCAAACAGATTATTCGATGATTGGAAAAGTTGTAAAACTGGAAATTTTAAGCCTCATTACACTGTCTAGGGGCCCTGCTGCTTCTGGGAGACCAATATGCCCACTTGCATGATCATTTCGGTAGTTAAGGAGCATTCCACGTTGCCTTTTATTTCTTTGCATTTGCTGGGGGTGGGGGCCCTGCGCTGTTGGTTGGGGCCCTTCCTGCTAGCGTGCCGGGGCACTCTCGCCAATCACGGGCCCTTCCACGGTGTTCTTTCAATTCGCCAGAAAGGTTCTGTGGGCTATAGTCAGGGTCCCATATCTTAACCTGCCGGGGTATTCTCGATTGTTCAGGGGTTTTACGTGGATATCAGTGGGCCTACCGACACACTTGCGATATGCTCATGG